TTTGAAGTTGCCTGACTGCATGGCATAGAACAGAACTGTCCTGCTGTGAATCCCACAGTGGTTGATCTTGAACAAAACAAAACAAAAAGTAACATTATCGTGAAATCAAAGATCAACAAACTAATATGCAAGGAAAATAATTATGTATTGGAAGGGATGCTTATTTGAGGTGGGCACGTTAATTGACTAAATACAGTAATTATGTACTGGCACATAATTGCAGACCACCTTTCCGTATTGTGAAAGAGCAGAAAGCATGTGCTTGCCAGCTTGATGAAATAATTATAACTAGTTCAGATGTATCTGCCTGCATGGCTTTGTCTAGTATACAATTAACAATAATACAGGCAGAAAATTGTTTTTCTTTTGTTATTCACTGTGTTAGTTTTGCTATGTGGGGCATTGTTGTAAAAAAATAAAAATAAAAAATTCTCAGGTTTGAAGAAGCTCGATGTCTAATCATTCTAACTGAATTATGGACACTAGCAGGAATTAATCAAGAAAAAATTTGGTGACATAGGTTCAATAAATATTTCGTAAAATCATATTATTGCAGTTTAAGATATCAACCTTTATTCTGGGTTCATTTGCCTGTTCAAAGAACACCACCTGTTACTAAAACTGAAAAAAAGCCAGACATACAATTATCAATAATAACAATAATATACTATTTTATTGTTATTTCATCTGTAAAAGCCAGGGAAGTAATTCTGAAAATTCAGCTGAACTAGTTCTGGTATAGGCTAAGGGTTCTAGGGTCCCAGCAGCACATTCCCACCCAAAAATTCCTAAAGTACCCCCCCCACTCCGAGTCTGCAATACTTGCAGTCTACAAATTAACATTTGAATATGATTTTTCTCTCTGACTTGTAATGAAAGAAAAGAACTTCAGCACTAGAACAAACTGTGACATGCTGATTCTTTAAGAAGGAGTAAACTCAGTGTGCTTGTTCAAACAAAAAAATAAATTACCAACATACCTTTACACTTTCAAATGACAGCAAAAAATGCACAGCTTCACTGACATCACAGTCAAGACAAGGACCTTGCTCAATGCCATCACGCCACGGCAATGGACAACAAAGTGACATTAGAGGTGTATTTCCGAGACAGTCAGTTGCCAAAAGATCAGCTCCATTGTCACACAAAGCCTGTGCCATACGCAAGTCCTGTGATCTTAACAGTGTTGAATGCAGAGGTGTCTTCATTTCTGCATCTCGAACATTTACATCTGCGCCATGACCGAGTAACAACCAGACTGCATTTATTAGTTCTTCAACTAGGTCTGCCTTGATCTTAATATCTTTTCCATTTAGTGACAATACTTGATGACAGGAGAGAGCTTCTTCTGTGACAATATTATCCTTGCTGGTTACCAGATTGTAGAAGTTGACCAAACACTGCAGAGGTGACCTTCCTGGTCCAACATACTCAGCACCACTAGTCTGCAGAGGTAAAATGGATATATAGTAGACGTAAGCCAGATAGTTTTCATCATTCAGGGCCTGAGTAATTAAAAAACATCCAAACACAATGTATTGGTTCAGTTACTCTACTAGAGCATATAACCATTACAATTTTTGTGGTATTTACCTCTGGTATTCTCAGATTAGGATCTGCCCCTAAAAATGCCACAAAAAATAATGAAACATTGTCAAGACTTCAAAAAAAAAACACAATATAAATTAAATTAGATCATACGTCCATCAGAAGTGAAAGCATTTCTTGCAATATATTTTACCTCTTTCTATTAACCGCCGTGCAATCTTTAAATGAACTGGAATGACCTTGCCATCAACTGCAGAATTCTCGCCAGAAAGAACTATGTAAAGTGGGATCCTCTGGTAAAATCCCTCATCCAAGCACATTCCGTATCGACTGTTAATAAACTCCAATGCTTCATCAAAACGTCTTGTCTCTAAAGCGCGAGTTAAGGGAGTTTCATTGATTCCAAACACAACGTTGAAAGACACTGGAGGAGCCGCCGCCATGATTTTTGTTTTGACCTATCATAATTACCCATAATGCATTGCTAAATTAACTTGCCGCTGCTCGAATCCAGTACGAAATTTACTATTTCCATGGCAAACGGATCGTTGAGGGAAAAGTTTAGCTTTCACTGCTTTGTGAAATACTTTCTTTTTGCTACTAATGCCATTTTATGGGTAAGTATCACCAACGTTCTTGCATAGTGAACAGAGGGTGTATTGCACACTGTCGGTGTACATGTACTGTTCCTCTCGTGAGAGACCTCTGCCGCTAACAGGTAACCTCGATCTTTGAGCTACATGTCCGTTCTGTTTCCTTTTCGGCACAACTTAAACTACTAACATGCCGGTAATAATGTGCTGTAAACCCCAGTCGTTGTTTTGTACTTTCGCCCGATGCTTTCGCGTTTCTTTCGCGCCTGCCCCGCTTGGCAAGCTCTCCCTCCAACACCCCCTGCCCCTACCCCTCGGGAGAGCTTGTATGTAGGTTAGTATGACATTAGCAATGCGGCTAGATGATCAGTCTGGTTATAAAGAATTCCTCAAGATCACAATATTTCACACTTAAGCTTTCATGTGATATTTAAAGATTTCATCTAAACAATACATAAGCAAGTCGCAGGTCAGGCAGCGTGGCTGAATGGTTTGTGCGACGGACTTACAATCAGGCAGTCCCTGGTTCAAGTAATGCTCTTTGGCCACTTGCTGGATTTGCTCTCGGTTGTCCCAATTCAGATCCTCAGCCAAACCTGTAACTTGCCGGCTGGTTGCCTCCTTTTAATACTGTTATGTTACATTTGAATTATTTGTTTCTACTTACTTAACTTGAGTTGAGTACCTTTATGCTAGCTGCATAGGTTAAGTGCACTTTCCACTATGAACATACCTTACGCTTTGATGTTAAGTAAGTTTAACAGCTGTGCGCAAAGTTATTCTGCCCATCTGAACATGCTCTTTGCTTTTTATTTCTGGAGCCGAGAAAGGCTTTGTCTGCATCAGTCAAGTACATCTCTGCTTTGTCAGAGATCATTGCAAATGCTGAGGATGGGGGTGTAAGGATCAAAACTGTCTCTAACAAACTGTTTTACAGTCTTAGATTGTTTTATTTCTTCCACTGACCCTTCTCTTTCCTTCCTCAGTACACCTGCTACTAATATCTAAATTATAGATTAAATGAGGATCATTTTGCATCATGCATTCTGAACATAATCTTCTTCTCTTTTAACATCCAGGTTCTTTGCTTAACTACATAAAAAAATATTTTAAAATACAACATAGTAATTATGTATAAGTTAGACTGACCAAGATGCAGATCGTCTGGTCTATATTGTACGTATCAGATCTGAAATATTTTGTCAAATAAGTGCCCGCTTAAGTATATGGGCGTTTATTACGCTTTCCTAACTAAAGATTGGTCCAGTTGTTTCTGGGAAGTTTCAGTATTTACAAAGGATGTGGGCAATATAGGACAAAAGTTAAAAGAAGAGATGCACGTAACACACACAAAGGAACTCTTCAAGTGCCCACATATGGTACAATACTTTATTTAACAAGGAATTTACACTTATCTTAATCACCTAGTTTACAGCCATAAAGGTATATTCTAAAAATTAAAAACTAAAAATGTATCATAATTATTCATGATACATGTATGAAAACTGTAAAAGCTAATAACTAAGAATTGATAAAAACAATAAAAGCAACAAGCAGCAGCTACCATGAATTCCGATATTATAATCTTAAGCAATCAAACTTTCTTCTTCACTTCATTAGTACCTGCTTTAATTCTAATATCATTTGGTGGCTTTTTCCTTTTCCTAGTGGCAAAATATTTCCATGGTTTGAGACCATACATGTATTTTAGTCATGTTAACTTTAGGCAATGAAAGGATATAATCATGTTGAAGATTACACTTGGATAAGCGTAAGGTGATATGACCTCTTTATTGTGGGTGGAGCTTTGTCTGATATACTATTGTTTATTGTCATTTGCATGCCTTGGATTATTCAAGTTTCCATAGATGGGAGTCTTTCTTTCTAAGAAATCTTGATAAGATGCACTTTTATCTTTGAAGATACATGTACTACCTCAAAGCCTTTTCGTTGACTTTCTCAATTTCCTGTTAAAGAAACATGGATATAGAAATAACTGAAAGTGTCTTTAACGGAAAAGAGACGTTCTTTGATATTGAAAAAGTGAGAAGGGGCTAGGTTTATTCAATGGGGTGCTTAGACATGTATTTGATAAAATGGCCAAGTGGGGGGTGCTTTTTCCAGGAAATATGGTATTGTAGGGAAATTCTCAAGTTAAGTGTGAAATTGTATAAGGATTGCAGCAAGCATACCACACCACCTCCGTCCAATTTTTCTGGATTATAACCCCCCGCCCCCTCCCCCAAGGCTTTAATATGCTCAATCAAAAGTCATGCTGTTATCTGTCAATAATCCCTAATTTGGCTGTACACGCTTTATGTATTATGTCAGATCATCAGTATAATTTTTATTGGAGTGGGATCATGGGCTCATGACGAGAAGAAAAAATACAGTGACCTGGACAGCCTTGCATTTGATCCCTCGATTTTGATTATTATCGTGGGCTGCTTCATGTTTGTAATCACATTCTGCGGATGTATTGGAGCTCTGAGGGAAAACAAACTCTTACTACGAATTGTAAGTTACCGGTAAATTATGTAACTATTCTGCTTTTAAGATCCCCATGAAAATTCAAGGGTTGTCGCTAAGATTTCAAGTTGCCAAAGTTAATACAACAAGTAGGCAGGGAATCAAACAGCTAGGGGTTTCTAACAGTTTTTCAAGGTTCATATTTGTTGTTTGTAACATTTGATATTAAATATAATACTGGGGAGACATATTTGTTTGACACAAAGCTGTAATTTTGTTATTCGCAAGGAATGTCTCAAGTTCATGATGAAGACTTGTAATTGGCATTATAAACAAAATGAAGTAGGCAGCTGTGACAGAGCTCCTTTAATATCATGATTATTTTAAATTTTGTAGTTTATGGGATCACTGACCATTATCTTCATCTTGGAACTGGTCACAGGATTTGTTGCATTCTTTTTTGTTGACAAGGTAAAAGGAATTAAATTGTTCATACACACCTTTGCGAAGTCCAATGAAAGCTTTTAGTTTTGTTTGTGAGTGTTTGTTTGCGATTGTTTAGACTGTCTTTAATAATACCTAGAGGCTCAAATAGTAAACAGCATCTGATCTTTCACTATGTCACTAAATTTAACAGAAAGGTCATTGAAGAAAAGGAAATGACTTNGGGTTTCTAACAGTTTTTCAAGGTTCATATTTGTTGTTTGTAACATTTGATATTAAATATAATACTGGGGAGACATATTTGTTTGACACAAAGCTGTAATTTTGTTATTCGCAAGGAATGTCTCAAGTTCATGATGAAGACTTGTAATTGGCATTATAAACAAAATGAAGTAGGCAGCTGTGACAGAGCTCCTTTAATATCATGATTATTTTAAATTTTGTAGTTTATGGGATCACTGACCATTATCTTCATCTTGGAACTGGTCACAGGATTTGTTGCATTCTTTTTTGTTGACAAGGTAAAAGGAATTAAATTGTTCATACACACCTTTGCGAAGTCCAATGAAAGCTTTTAGTTTTGTTTGTGAGTGTTTGTTTGCGATTGTTTAGACTGTCTTTAATAATACCTAGAGGCTCAAATAGTAAACAGCATCTGATCTTTCACTATGTCACTAAATTTAACAGAAAGGTCATTGAAGAAAAGGAAATGACTTTTTCCCCTGCACTGGTACCATACAAGATTTAAAGGAAACTATGCAAATTAGAGAAAGAAAAAAAATAAAAAGATGGATGTAAATTTTTTAGAAATCAAAACTGACTATGTCTTAGCTGTCCAACCACCCACAGCCTCTCTGTTTCTAATAATAAGGCCATCAAGGTAATTATAGGTGAGAGACATCTTGTGGGAGGCAGCAGTGGAAGGCAGCAGTGGAAGGCAGCATAGCCGAGTGGTCAGCGCGTCAGACTAGCAATCAGACCATCCCGGGTTAGAGTCCCGCTCTGGCCGCTTGCTGGATTTGTTCTCTGTCGTCCCAAGTTCAAATCTCAAATCTTCAGCCAAACTTGTAAATAGCCAACTGGTTGCCTCCCGCCAGTTGGGGTTTTTAATCCTGTTATGTTTTATTTGCATTATCTGTTTCAGAATTATTTGAATGGAGTGCCTGTAAACTAGCTGGATAAGCTAAGTGCACTTGCCACTATAAACAAACCTTTGAATTAAAAAGACATAAATGGTCATGTGCTTAAAAAATAGAGGATGCAAGTTTTTGTTCTTCAGACTGCTACTCTCACTTTTCAAATCTTGCCTCTTACGGTGCATGAGTACTGCTGGGCCTCTTTGACTTTGTCTACTCACAAAGTTTTTTGAAAACAAAAGATTCTCAAGAACAATAACGTACATTATTTGAGGGCTGTTTCCTGAGAACTCAGTTACTGGTTTTATAGTTTTCAACGGTTGCATAATTGAACCTTAAATTTATTTGCAAAAAATTGAGAATCTTTTGTTTTTAGAAAACGTTGTTTTTTTCAATTCTCTAGCAAGTGTTCCAGTTTGAGGGTCTGCAATGTAATAAAAGTAAAAACTGGATAGAAATAATTGCTTGCATTATAGAGGTTTCTGTACAATAGTATAAAGTTTTATTGCTTTGTCTGGCATTTTTGAGACTGTATAAAGAATCAGCCATACAATTTTGGAGAGAGTCAAGTCTGTATTTTATCTCGTTTGATCATCTTCTTCCACATTCATTACAATAAAGCCAGAGCAAACTAAGCTCTTTATTCTAGGCCACATCTGGCCCCATGTACAAGGCAATCCAAATTTCAAAATCTGGGAAATTTTTGCTCGTGGAATTTGGAATCCTGGGCTTTAGAAATTATCTGGATTTCAGCCTTAGGAATCTAAAACTCCGCTAACGTTTGGAATTCAGATTCCAAGTTCCTGCTGATGAGGAATATGGAATCTACAGCGTAGATAAATACAGAATATCAAGACTGCCAGGGATTGCCTTACCTGTCTGACCCCAGGGGGTGGACTCCGCATATGAAAGGGATCAGGATGCTCATAATCTCGCTTAGGGGTGTAAATTTTGGATTTTGGTTTCACTTAGGGTGTTCTGGGCAAAACGCCATCATATTTAGCCGTGAAGGTCTTGTTTAGGGGTTGCATGTGAAAAAATATAAAAATTATATATTGTCTGTGTTTTAACATGGTCTCTTTTAGGGGTCAAAAAAAGCTTGGGCCACGCCCAGATCGGTCTCCTTTATCGGTCTCCTTTTATCCCTTATAACAAATCCCTGAAAATTGTTTTAAAAAAAACACGGGTGTACTTAACGACTGTTTTCTGTAAATGTCTGTTCGAAGCAAATATTGCGGAGAATTTTTATTACTTGAAGACGGCCAAAATTTCTAGATGACCGTTCCTTTCATGTACAATTTTCGAAGCTTACCTCATAATTTCCCTATGATTTTCTTAAGTTTAATTTCTCACATTTCACTTCCGAGGTTAGGCTATTTTTCGTAGTAAAAAGGAAACCGAAAATTTTCGGATTTAAAAATGTGATGCATGGAAAGAGGAGTCTAAAAACTTCTTACTTTCGAAATACATTAAATCGCACCTAAAATTTTCAGGAAAATAATACCGTGAAGACCCTTGTAATTTTGAAAAGAGTTAAGTTCCCCTAGATGGACCTAACAGAATGTATTTCTAGAGATCTATAAGTACACTGAATAGCCTTAAGAGTGATTTCAATGTATTTAGGAGGAAACCGTCGTTGGGTGCCCCTGAAATCAGTCAAAATACCTAAGTCTATTATCCTTGCAGACCCGCAGTAAAGTGAAAGAGGCAACATACAAGGTGATCAAACGGTACAGAGATGACCCAGATCTTCAAAACGCAATAGATGGAATACAGAAAGGATTGAAATGCTGTGGAGGATACTCTTACCATGACTGGGAACATAATGAGCACTTCAACTGTTCAATCAAAACAGTACAGGCATGTGGTGTACCCTTCTCATGTTGTCGCGAGGTAAGCATATCTGCGCTCTTGAGCCAGATCGTCGTATGGTCAGTTGCTTCTTAAAGCATTTGAAAAGAAAAATGAGCGGTAACATTACAGTAAAACTCCGCGACTAAGAGCCTTTTAGGCTAAAATTTGGCACTTAAAGGAGCTGTGTCACGAAATTCAGCCAAATTAGGACAGGTATTACAAAACACCCGTTAAATCCAAGAGAAACATAAAAATAACCGCTTAAAACATTAAAGGAAGGTTAAAATGACACAACAGATGTCACGGATGGGCAAAAGTGACGAAGATTGAAACGGATTGAAGTTAAGGTTTTTGAAAACTGTTCAGCCTAACAGTTTTCAAAGTTTATCTCTGCTGTTTGCAACTTCAAAAATAATGCTCAGAAGACATATTTGTTTGTCTTGAATCTCTGACTTTGTCATTTACATGTAATTTCTTTGCTTACTTTAAGTTCCATAGCGATTGAAGGCGAGTAATTGGAAAAATCAAAATTACCGCGGCAGGATTAGCTCAGTCGGTAGAGCGCTTGACTGCAGAGCGGGAGGTCGCGGGTTCGATTCCCGGGGCCGGACCAATACTCAGGGTCTTAAAATAACTGAGAAATGAAGGTACTTCCTTTACCCTGCAGGCGGCTGGACCTTCGCGTGGCTCGGATGACCACGTAAAATGGCGGTCTCGTCTCCATTAGGAGACGTAAAATATAGTAAAATATAGTGTTCCCAATTACTTTTTTTTTTTTTAAATGGACTGGACTGCCGTGACACAGCCCCTTTAAGCCCCCTCTGTTTAAGAACCTGTTTAGCCTAGAATTTGAAACAGGCTCTTGTTTTCTAAAATCTGTGAAAAAATTCTGTGCACTTGGGCTAATAACGTAAGTCAAGATTTAGAATCCTCTTTGGAGACATACAATTGCTATTGCTACTGACCAAATCATTTTCATCTCTCGGAAGTGCTCTACCTGGCATAAGAGAGATTAAGATTCACGTTTACCGTAAACGGCCAACGTCAGACTCAAGTTGAGAATTTCTCAGAATAGAAAATAAGCAGATAAAAACAGTCCCTAACGATTCCTATGGTTAAAACTGGCATAAAACTACTTATTCTTGTGTAGAAGCAATAAAGAGTAAACGGAAAATAAGGGGAAAACTTGGTCACGTGGTACAAATTCACGTCTGCCGTTTGGCGTAAACGTGAATCTTAATCTCTCTATTGTCTCCTTTGCAGCCGCTCGGGCGGGAGTCACACAGGAAGCTTGCGTGACTCCGGCCCGAGCGGCTACAAAGGAGGCTATACCTGGCAAGGCTCAGTGAAGATAAATCTAGAAGTCTTTCAATACCTCGCATGGGATAAAGTGGAAGATGAGCGTCAGACTGGGTCGGTGTTGTGTCGAATTGCACTATGGGACTGTTTTGGGAACACTGTCCATTGGCTGTTGCCAGGTTATACGGGAAATTGGGTTAAAACATTCCCATAGTTCCCCTAAAAACGCCTGCGTGGGAGCGAAGCTAGCTATTGTGATGTGGTGTGGCTATTGTGCAGTGTCTTTTCAATCTTTTTTTCAAAACTCTTTGATAATTCATAAAGAAAAAACAAAAGAAATTAGTGTTTAACGAGTGTCTTTATATCTGATAAAGGTGCGGTTTAACTTTACGTCCAATTTTTTAGACCAAGATAACCTCAAATCTAAATATTTGTGCAAGAATAAGGTGATCTATATCAGAGATTTTGAAGCCGTGCAAAAAACTCGCAGTCGTTTATTATCAGGTGTAAAAACTCTCGGCTTCGTCTTGAGTTTTACATCATTTGGTGTTTGCACGTATCCGTAACACCAAAAAAACTAACAAAAATGGCCTATTACAGGGTACCAAGAAGAGTTACTCGCTGCTTAATTTTTGTTCACACTGATATTCTTTGTCGAACAGGATCAAATAAATACACAGTGTGGATTTTCTGTACGACGAGAGAAACTCGTAAGTACCTTTAATTAATCAGTACGCACCGCAAAAGGAAAAAGAACGATGTGTATTACTAAATTAATATCATGCGCGTGCTTTGCTTGTTTAATCGAGGTGTTACAGATCTATTCTATACTGTAAAAGATTACATTTTTGTGGCGTTGTATTCCTTAGACCTGTCAGTAACTGCGGGCACATTGTGGGTGGCTCCTCCTAAAATGTTCTACAGTTGGTATAGGGTGTAATGGAGCCAAAACCAATTGAAGGAATTCCACTCATTTTAGGCATCCTGCTGACGAAATGTTACTACAAGGATATTTGCTGAAGCCACCGGCCATAATATTGTAGTCTGTCGCCTTCGAATTATACTGACGTCTGCATAAAGTAGAACTTATATTCTAACTGCTTTATGGTAGTTGCCAGATTCTGCTGGCAGCTTCCCCTCTTCCATTGTTTGTTAACTCGTCTTAAAGAATGATTTTATTACAAATAGGTATGGGGTGTCCTGGAACTCATTTTGTGAAAAATCATGAGTTCCAGTTCAAAAAAAAGTGAGTCCGAAATTGAAAATGCTTTAGGGGGCGCGCCTTTATGTAACCAGACAGTTAATCTGAAAACAGATTCCAAAACTCTGTATTACAGTTTACTGAAATTTAAATGTAGTCCTTCTTTTTGAAAGCACAACAAAGGCTAAAAGAAATATGCATCGTTAAACAACAGCTATAATAATTGCCACAGAAATAACGCGAACGGGCCAGATATTTCTTCAAACACGCATGTTCAGATCGATCGATTTTTGCGTCCTAAGGGACGCATGCCATGAATTATTTTCGCCTTTGGGGATTTGCTTTGCGTCAGGGACGCAGGATGCAGAGGTAACAAAATCAGTCCTAAAAATATCGGAAATTTTTTAAAAAATTCATCTAGCAGGGAACCTGATAGGGGATCGCAAATTACTGAAATTTTAGAAAACACTATTCGAAGCCTCTCATAAGCCAGTGTTCATTCAAATGTGGCATGTGTGCAAAGTGTCCTGTGCGCATCTCTTAGTTGGTATCTACATCATTTTAATTCCTTAGGAAACAGAAGCTTCCTCGTTGATTTACACCCAAGGATGTATAGACAGCCTGACAAACTGGATTAACAACAATCTTCACATCGTTGGCGGTCTGGCATTTGGTTTTGCAGTTATCCAGGTCAGTGTGTATTTCAGATTAAAGGGGCTCTGCTCCGGCTGCCTTTTTTAAGTTTATTTTGTGTAAAATGGCAATTACGCGTCCCTGTTCTCTATGGAAATTAAGATTTTACTTCTGAATGACAAAATCACAGCTTCGTGTCCAGCAAATGCACCTTCCAAACATTTTTTCAAACGTTAAAAGCAACAAATGAACCTTGAAAAACTGTCAGGCTAACAACTGTTTTCAAAAAGCATAATTGCAATCTGTTTCATTCTCTTTCAATCACGTTTGTTTATCCATTCCTCTTTTTGTATTTGCTGTGTTATATATATATGTAAATTCTTTCCTTAATTTCTTCGGTTTCACTCAATTTAGTGATAGTTCCCACCGTCTGAATTTTGGCGAATTTTGTGACAGAGCTCCTTAAAACATTCATCAGTAATTGCACTGTGGGTCAGCTACTCCGTTAGCAAAGTCCTCTTTAAGATTGCCGATAAGGTATCCAGATCGTTGGTGGGTATCAGGTCGTTTCGCCCGAAGTTGTTTTGCCCGAACGTAAGTCGGTTCGCCTGATGTTAAGTTGTCGCTCTTTAAGCCTGAAAAAAGGAATAAGCGTGAAAAAAACAGTAACTGCACATGTGGGTCAAAAACTTTTCCAGCGAAAACGTGAACAAAAACACAAATTACACATCAAAAATCTAATTGTTGCGATTGCTGTACAGTCTGTTGTCCCGAACATGATTATCAAGATCGCTAAAATTATTCAGATCGCTCGACCTTTAAGTTTTTAGGATCGCAGCCATAGAGATCAATAGAATCCAAGCTTAACTAAAAATATCTCTGATATTAAAGGCGTGTTGAAGAGTGTTGTTTGTCATCGGGCGAATGGATTTACGTCCGGGCGAAACAACCTCGGGCGAAACGCGACCACACTTAGTGGGACCCTCAGTGATGTTGTAATGTTTTTTTTAGGAGGGGAGGAGACTGACAGGTGCTCAGTCTTCTTGAAGGCTAAACGTTGTGCAATGAATCATGATTTCCTGACCATAATAATAGAAGTAATTAGATACTGCTATGAAACCCTTTGAAACCTTTCTTTTCTGGTTTTCCTCCTCTAGCTACTCGGTATACTTGGCGCTTATAACATGATTCGAGACATCGACCTGATATTGAAGTCAGCGGACAGCGAGACAGGAATAAACTATATGCTATGAAACAACCACTGATCATAAGGCAGAAAATGGTAGAACCAATCTTATCAGTACAGTCTTGATAAAAAGCTAGCTACAGTTCAAACTGTAGACTTTATCCTTTGACTACGTTGCTTAAGTTTCTTGCCGAAGAAATGTAAGAGGTCGACATGATTGCAAGGCTATCGTAACTGTCTCCGGCGCAATTTGCTAGATATTGAATTTGTCAGCGTATAGTGAAAGTGAATTCGACTGCTTGAAAAAACCAAATACGGAAATTCTTCCGAGTCTAGTTTAGAAAAGACAATGTGTAGCTTCTGGAAGGCTAAACATTGTCGTGACACGTGACTGGACTCTCAATGACTCCTCTACAGATACCTCTTGGGCTACGTTCACACGGCGGCAACGAACGAATTTTCGACCGGTTGAAAATTTACTTGTTCCGTTAAGACGGAACTATCTTAACCGTATAAAAATTTAGACGCCTAGCCTTAAAATATTTGAAAGCCAAAATCGAGTTCATTTTCTTAGCTGGTACGGTGGAAAATTTGACCTGCGCGGTGTGAGCACTATAACCGTGTACATTTTTTGGCGGTGGCGGTGTGGTTTCATGGATGCGTGGTAGCTCAGCTCAAAGACGCCATTTTGGATTTGCTGAAGTAGCGCTCTTCGCATGGGTAGATAGTAAAAGCTCTGACAAAAATTGATATTCAAACTGGTTCGTCAGTACCATGTGAACAGTGAGTGAACGGTTCCGTGTGAACGAAGAGTCCGGTCAAATTTCGTCCGGTGGCGTGTGAACGTAGCTTTGGTAGCTAGTCTTCGGTGGTGGTGGTAGGCGGAAAAACGATGGCCTTGTTTCGCTGCTCATCGTTCTATGTTCACGCACTATGTTTTCGTGAGTTTTCATTGGCGTAGCCAGCCTATAGACCTGTAGGCCCGACCCTACTAATTTTTGCTTTGATCACTCTACCGCTAGTTATGAACTATGCGCTGTTAGGTTGAGCAAAAAGCTTCAGAGTTCAAAGTGTTAGTGAGATCAGTGCGTACTAGTCATGCGTGCAATTTTCAGGTTACGCAGAAATGAAAGTCAGCCAGGCCTACACCTAGTCGAAAAACTGGCTACGCCCCGGTTTTTTTGTTTGTTTGTTTGTTTTTCATTACATAGTGAAGATTCTTCTAAGGAGTGGGTTACAAGCACTTTCCTCCTATCGCTTTTGCCGTCAGGCCAGTTGTTGTCTAGAAATGGATATTTACCGTTGTATTATATGTGAATATTTAAAAACTTTGTACAGCCATTTTGTAAAATAAAGATCACTCAAAGCTGGTGCTTACATTTCAGGTAGTTTTACTAGTTTTACCAGGCTTGCCAAGGATACTACATGAGCTTGTGCGAATTGTTGTGGATCCGTATAAACTAAATTCAACACCGGCATAGCGTCGTGTTGCCTCATGTTTGCTACGACCTTGCAGAGCGAAGTTGAAGTTTATTGATTAATTGATTGATTTCCATAGAAGTTACAAATAAATTAAGCATACATGTACATGTACATGCAAACATCTTTAGCGTCACTGCCCAGTGACGTGAGCATCTAAACAGAAACAAGAGTCAGGTTCTGCTATATTCAGAAGAAAATGTAATTTGATCCTGATGCAACCATTCACTTCATTCGCCTTTAACGCTGGAACTTTCAAACAGTTTTTTTTTAAAGTCTGTAATACCGGCGAGAGCTTTCTGTAGAAAACTCCAATAGTAGTTGGATTATATCAAACGAGGACTCTGTAGTTCAGTCTCTCTTTTTTATAAGCTATCAAGAGAGAATTGCTCATTCTCTCTTGATGCTATGTCTTTTATGCTGATGTATAACTGGTAAAAGCGTAGGGAAATATACAATAGGCGTCAAGCGGGAGCAAATGTGCAACCGACACAACGCGCGCGCAAGAAGACATATGGTTATATGTTAAAGGGCCGACACACGCGCAACCGTCGTCGGTGATGGAGAAATACAGCAGCTGAACGCGCGCGTGGACCGGTTCGAGCCAGTAGAGAGGTTAAGATTCACGTTTACGTCGAACGGCAAACGCGAATTTGTACCACGTGACCATGTTTCTCATTTGTCGTTTACCGTTCATTATTTCTAGACATAAATTAGCAGTTTCACGCAATTTTTTATCCATAAGAATTCTTTTGAACAGTTTTTATCTGCTCATTTTCTATTTTGAGACATTCTCAACTTGAATCTGACGTTTGCCGTTTGCCGTGTAAGTAAAGCTTGAACTCTCTAGTAATAAAGCAAAAAGAAATAAAAAGCATTCAGTTTGAAATGGTAGGTGGTATGTGTGCGAAATACCCCTGCACAACAAAGTATCTGCTTGTTTCCTGCAACAACCTGGGTAAAATGAGCAATAGTATTAAACAAACCAACAGCAGGCTATTTTAGGTGTGGTACGCGTGGTGACTAAGCGGTTAACGCTTTGGACCTCAGCTGCAGGTCTTGGTTCAGTCAAGCCTTGAGCTCTAACAGTGCGACTACAGTAACCGGAGGCACCTAGGCAAAGTTGACCAATCGGATGACACGACGGTTGGTTGTAAATGTCCCGAGCTTTATATTGAAAGTTTCAACGCCAAAAACATCGTCTAATAATTATTTTTACTTTCTTGGACACGTTTGCTACTTGCTGCTTCGAGTAACTTACGATTTTTACGAGCTGCCAATTGGCTCAAGACACTACTTACTCGAAATGTATTGTTATTTTCCTGTGATCCGATTGGTCACATTTGTCCAGGAAGCCTTCAAACCACATTTTAAAAATCAAGTTGCAGGTCGTATTCCCCACAGACTTTCCCAAGAAGGGGAGCGGAGAGAAGGAGTGATTGGTAAAGCACTTGGCACAAACATTAGATACGTCTGAACTGACTGGCTGTTGTTAGAAAACAGATAAATCAGTGACGTAATCCGAGATGTAAAACAAATTTTATCTTTCACAGTGTTGTAGATTACAAGTATCAAGAAATTAAAACAACAACAATTTACGTTGAAAGAATGACCGTCTCGTTGCTCAGATTACTTTGTGGATGAAATTCGTAGAAATAAATTTGAGACCATTAAAATTTGGAGAATAAGCAGCAATCTACCGAGATGTTGCAATTCCTCCGCAATAAGGCCTAAAGCAATGTTAGGCCTTGTTTGGCCCTATGAAATAAGGCGCAAGTACCCAAATGCATATACACAGGAAGTAATGCATTCTCTTCTCCTGTGCCACTCGGCCGTTAAAGGCCACGCGACCACAAAGAAACGATGTGCTTTAGAAACGAGAATGGCAGAGATGTCATGTAGTCCTGGAAATCTTTTGAGAACCCGATCTTCATTTGCATACTCCAAAATCAACTTTCCTTTTTCACCTAAACTACACAAAGAAAAAACAGAACGCTCTAAGGCCTGGAACCCGCATCATACACCGCTATCCACTATCAATAATTACGAAATTATTGCTGGGCATGCGCAGGAACTCTCACGGCCCAGTTGTTCGAAGGCCGTTAACGTAGTAGGGGTTAAAGTTTACTTCGGGTTTCTTATTCTTTTGATCAAAAGCATTTTCTCGGATAATTTTCTCTATTTTTTTTAGAGCATCCAATTATCAAATTGTAGATAAAAAGAATTAAACTGGATGTTGCTTGTTAAGCTTTCATATCTGAATTCAAAATTTCGCACTTTTTACTACTACATGAGAAATTTGTGCAATTTGATTGGCTCAGAGCAGTGGTATTTCAGCTTAATTTGAAAAAATTACGTGTGAAAATTACAAACCTTTTGTGGGTAGTAGTATAAACAAATAATAGCATGATTTGAATGTGATATTGTGGCATAAATATCACTCGTGATATTTCAAAACTTTCTCAAATTTCACTCTCCTGACGGCTTGTGAAATTACATATAACAATTGTGAAATATCACTGGTGGTATTTATACCAAATATCACTACAAATCATGCTATTACCTATACAAACCTGGGTTATCTTAACCCAGCTTTGAACAACTCGGCCCAGAACTTTAAAACAATAAACAATATTACAACTGTCCCGGCGGCGCAGTTTTATTGTTCTACCTATTGTTATAACATAACGGACTTTCAAACTGTCAACGAAAATTCAGACCCATTCGAAAATATTCCATCCTTATGTTATCATCACGTTTGTCCCTTTAATTGGATTTATTCACTTTATTCCTAATGTTGCACATCAATCAAAATTGTTTCAAATGTTAAATTATATTCCTTCTCTAATCTAATACATAATTGTTTTTTTAAGGAAATCTTTTTCCAGAGCCCTAGACTCTCTATCTAGGACACTGACTCGCGGGCCCGAGGGTGCGCATTTTAACGACGGTTGACTGTTAAGTTAGTGTAATTCAGTCACGTGAATTGTTTTTTATGATATAGCTATCTTTGCCAGCGAATCCGCGGTGTTAATAGGGCAAAAACTTAGATAACATTAGTTCTATTATTAATAGTAAAAAACCCGCGAGTAAGAGCCTGAATTTTCCCAAGTCAGCCTAAACAGGTTCTTAATAAAATATTAATTAGCACAAATTTAGGCCGTTTTGGTTCTTATTTTCTGAAGAAAAAATTACAGAAAATCTAAGAGTACTTGGTGGTATTCAGCTTATTTCTTATATAACATCTGCATTCCATTACATTGCAGCTGGAGTGATAGTAAACCTCTGTCTCCAGAGAGAAACCTGAATGTTGACTTATCTTATTTGACCAAGTGCACAGAATTTTTCATAGACTTTAGAAAATAAGAGTCTGTTTCAAATTTTAGACTAAAGAGGTTCTCGTATAGAGGGGGCCTAACTGCCAAATTTTAGCCTAACAGTTACTAAGGGAGTAAAAACGACTCGAAGTAATCGTCTGAAATTCAGGCCAGTTCTTAAAAACCAGGTTTTTACTTGCCGATTTATACTGTACTCTATATGTAAAAGATTCAGTTGTAAGCAATTGTCTGAAAATATCAAGATCGGCCAGAGGTCAGCCTGAGAATACAGCCGTCGAAACTAAGTTTCCTTCGTAAACGTCCCTAGCTAACGGCGAGGAGCGAGGAGACACGACGGTATTGCAGGCTAGCTGGTGGTCGCACGGAAATCTTTCACTTCACTTAGCCTTCGTAGCAGGTGCTTAGAAGTTACGATTGCAAGAGAAAACAGGGCACGCGACGAAGACACTCGCGTCCTCCTCGTACGCTTCGTTCTTTCTTGCACCCATATTTCTTCCAAACGCTGTTACGTAGGATACACCTCACATTTAGTAAACGTTTCTAAAATTTTATTTTGTTAAAGACGGAATCTGAGAATGACACATTCTGCCGTCTTATTGTATTCCTTTCGCGTTGTTTAACCATTTATTTTACTCTAAAATACTCCAGTAGTTTTAATCCAATTACTGCCGGTGAGAACCGTAACAGTTTTGATATCCTGTAGTTGCCGAAGCAGCGTAATGCAGGTTCGTAAATCGATTCCAGGCACCAGGCTCTTGACAAGTTCCTTCAGTCTTTCGTCTCTTGAGAACCGCTGTTCAGGTCTGAATTTGAAGAGAAAATCTCAAGTTATTTTCTGAAACAGGGTAAGGGTTTCAGGAAGCAACTGCCGAAGACCCGAATGCTTCGACCCATCGGTCAATTCATTCGTAAAATTTAACTGTAGGAGATACTTAAAGTGCACATTAAAAGAAAACCAATGAAAGCAATTTGTTTTGAGATGTTAACCTTCGAGCCACGGCCAATTACCGTTAAAAACTGTGGATATATTTATTTATTTGGTTATTTAGTTAGATGGTTAATTAGATATTTACTTTGATAGTTGCTTAGTTCAGTAAATATTTATTCTCATTTTTATTTAGTATTAGCCTGTAGATAAAAACGGACGAACTGTGTGTCAGACCATTCAAACGAGCATGATTCTTATTTATCCTGCGCAACGTGTTTTTTATCCTCTGGGGATTGAACTGTTATTGTTTTTATTTCAGTCGTTTGCTTTTTGCACAGTGAAAAATTGCTTTCTCTTTAATTCAACAATTAGAATCAAGAAATCTAAGAGACAAAGGCTGAAACCCAGATTTTTCCTTTTGCACACCTTGACACGTGATCATATTTCTGACTAAGCTTTAATGTGGTTCTCACCATTGATTGGCTCAAAATTCAATGTCACGTCATCGCCAATCAGCATGAATGGCGCCCAGTACCGCACCGCATTGAACTCTTCAGACTCTCGCATCAATTTCATGGCCTGATGAAGCGACTTACTTGCACTTTTCCCTTCTACCAAATGTTCGTAAAAGTGTTTCATAAACTCCAGAGTGGCTTCGTCGCTCAGCTCCCACAGTGACGCGATAACAGAACGTGCCCCGGCTCCTAAAAAGGCACGTGCAATTCCAACCACGCCTTCGGCTTTGATCTCTCCGCGTCCACTGTAACAGCAGCTTAAAACAACAAGCCTGGCTCGCAATTGTACACCCAAAACATCTGCCTTTGTTAAAAGGAAGTCTTCCTCTTTCGGTCTTTCAGCATCAGCAACATTAGGAGACAAAATAATTTCTCCGGTTTCTCGACAACCATGAGCTGCAAGGTGCACCAAAGAAACTGAATTAAGCCTGCTCAAAACTTGGTCTTTCGTAGCTTTTTTCCCAATGAGGGGTTCAGTGTTGAGAATCTGTCCAATCATTTTTGCTTCTTTCTCAGCACCCGGGAGCTGCGGGAACGGTTTGCTGTCTTTGATGGGTACAGTTTCCACCCACGGATTACCAACAAGCAGTGCACCAGAAGTACTATGGTGACTTTCTTCACAAACTGTCAGCAGCAGCAAGCTTGTTAATGATGGAGCCAATCGAATTCTCAGCGTTTCAGACAAATATCTGGATTGTTGGTCCATGAGGGCAGCATAAGGGATCAAGAATGATGCACGATCAGGGATAATAATGAGTTCATCACCGTTTATCAAATCTGAAAATGGAGCGATAACTAGGTCATACAATGTTTTCAAAGTAGCACTCTCGTCGTCTTGCTGTGATATCAAGGGCTTGCACCTCACACCAGTCCTTACACCAATATTTTCGTATGTTTGGTAAATCAATGATGTCAGGTTACCATTTATTTTTTTTTGCATCATCTGACACTGCTGTCCATTTAGAATTAACCAGAAACTCAATGATGTTTTAAAGTCTTCCTGTTTTTCTTCTTCTGCTAGAAAAAGAATAGGTGGCCAACTAAGGCTTGAATTGGACATTATCAGTTCCCTGTCCTGTTCTGACGACGACCAAATTGATGTACTGACGTCATATCGCGATTTCATGAGATGCATGAGAGCTTGTGCTCGTCCTGCCTCAGCTGTAGAGAGCGCCTCAAGGCTCTTGCCTTGTCGTAACTGAAGACGCGTTAAATGAGTATAAGTACTATCATGTTGATCCCGAAAGTTGATTTTCCATGCGTCTTTCCCTTGAAGAAGGACCCTAGTTTCCTCTAACAGTCTTACTGAAGATCTGCAAGACTCCTCGGCTTCAAGAAAGTCCTCAAGATCACAAAAACAACAAGCGAGGTTGTGACAGCTAAGTGCTTCGGAATAGTTGTCTCCAGTATCCTTTGCAATAGTTAGACTCAGCTTACAAAATTTGATTGCTTTCCTGACATCACCGAGAGACTTATAGGCACAGCCAAGGTTGTTATATACAGTTAGTTCCAAACTTTTATTTCCAGTCTTCGTTGGGATAGTTAGGCTCAGCTGAAAAAACTCGATTGCCTTACTGAAATCACCGAGAGAGTAATAGGCAGCGCCAAGGTTGTTATATACAGTTCCTTCAGAATTTTTGTTTCCAGTCTTTGTTGCGATATTTAGGCTCAGTTGATAAAACTCGATTGCTTTCCTGAAATCACCGAGAGAGTTATAGGCAAGGCCAAAGTTGTTATATACAACTCCCTCAGAATCTTTGTCTTCAATCTCTGTTGCGATAGTTAGGCTCAGCTGATAAAACTCGATTGCTTTCCTGACATCATCGAGAGAGTAATAGGCACGGCCAAGGTTGTAATATACTTTTCCTTCACAACCTTTGTTTCCAGTCTCTGTTGCGATAGTTAGGCTCAGCTGAAAAAATTCGATTGCCTTCCTGGACTCACAAAGAGACACATAGGCACCGCCAAGGTTGTCATATACAGTTCCTTCCAAAAGTTTGTTTCCAGTCTCCGTTGCGATAGTTAGGCTCAGCTGCCAAAACTCGATTGCTTTCCTGGACTCACCGAGAGACACATAGGCACAGCCAAAGTTGTTATATACAGCTCCCTCAATATCTTTGTCTCGAGTCTCTGTTGCGATAGTTAGGCTCAGCTGATAAAACTCGATTGCCTTTCTGACCTCACCGAGAAACCGATAGGCATCGCCAAGGTTGCTATATACAGTTCCCTCATAATTTTTGTTTCCAGTCTCTGTTGTGAAAGTTAGGCTCAGCTGATAAAACTCGATTGCTTTCCTGACCTCACCGAGAGACTTATAGGCACCGCCAAGGTTGTTATATACAGTTCCTTCAGAATCTTTGTCTCCAGTCTCTGTTGCGATAGTTAGGCTCAGCTGATAAAACTCGATTGCCTTCCTGACCTCACCGAGAGACTCATAGGCAAGGCCAAGAAAGTTATATACACTTCCTTCAAAGGCTCTGTTTCCGCTCTCTTTTGCTTCCTTCAATGTCAACTCGAAGTAGTTTTGCGCTGTTTTAAAATTACCATGTTTGAAAGCTCTTTTTCCCATGGCAAAGTGATGACTGCCCCAGCAATCCTTTACGCAAGTTACATTGTCGGGCTGTCCACGGTTTTCTTTACCTCTTCGGTATGGCTAGAAAAGCAAGCAACCTTTCTGTTAAACAGCTATCGGAGTTGGTATCTGGTATAAAATTATACCCCTGTCTTTCAGAAATCTTTAAAAGTGCAAATGCCATTTTTTAAAGAACTCTTCCTCGTATCTTTCTATAGATCGTTTTTACATGACGTCACAGCGGCCATATTTGTGTACAAAACAATGAATCGGCGGCCATGTTTGTGTACAAAAGAAAATCCTGTTGAAACTTTCTTTTATTCCAAGCAATTTGCAAAGCTGTTGACCATGTGACTGAAAACGATCTATTGCTTTAGTTATTTGATAGCCTCGATGAAGGAACGTAGCTGCTTTTAAGCCATTTTAGCCCTGGCTTAAAAAAACAAAAAACGAAATGGAGTTATAATGAGCCATGTAATCGCATGTTAACAGGGCGTCAGTGAAACTGCACCTGATATATACAGGCACTAAGTGTCTGACGCGGTGATGGGCATACAATTGATACATAAATAACATGGAAAATATGTCGCTGAACGCCATTTTGGTTTTTCAACTGTTAAATTGGTTATAAAGAATTTAAAAATGTTTATCATGGTCAGATATCCATTTCAGATGCTTGCTATGACAGTGTACTCTTTATTTGTTATTTATTTACCAGTGCAGCAAACCCTCGTATTGAGGATTATCAGGCGGTGTGGTCAGAAAAAAAAAAACAAACAATCAAACGAACAAAAAAGAAAAAAAACGAAAAAACAACAGAAGACAAAAATGATACAACTATAATAACTAGTGGGTGGGTGATTTTAGACAAGCTGTTTCGGAATTTAGCCAGGTCAGTAAAGAGAGAGTGAAGACAGCCGGAGGCAGGGAGTTCCAATGATCTATAGTTCAAGGATATGATATGTAGAGGTGGAAATCTGGATGGAGTGACCATGGAAATATGCTTCGGTGTAGTGAACGCAAATTGTCGCCTGGGTTCACTGTAACTAGAGGTAAATGATCTCATACAACATGGTAAGGCGCGCGTCGACTGATCTTCTCTGCTCTAAGGTTCTCCAGTTGAGCTCTCTATCTTTCTCCTCCGCGGAGGCCTCTTTGTCCACCGCGCGCTTTCTATTTTTCGATTATTGCTATTTTTAATGGGATACCCAGCGAAAGGCTTTGCGGAAGAGAGAGGCTCTTTAAGCATCTCTGTCACGCTTACTGATTACTGGTATCTCCCCCGTACCCATTTGTTGGCTCGTGGCTACATCATATTTATTTTTCACACTTTTACGAGGGTCCCAAACAGTACTACAGTATTCCGGGGGGGAGCGTAGTACTACTGCGTACGCCTCAGGAGGCAAATTATCTCTCAGGTTTCCTTTATGAAATCTTAGTGTTGAAATCTTGCTAGTATGGGTGTTCCATTTCAGGTCGTGATATACAAAAGCACTAAGATTGTTATAAATTATGTAATCAAAGAATTGAATAGAAAAGAATAATAGAATACTTCACTAGCAGTATCGACTGAATTGCTAGAGTTTACAATATATAGAAATGAGTTATGAAACATAATTACAAAATCCTTACATACTATAACTACAGTATATCAATTCTTACAACCACGAACAAAATCCTTGACTAACAATGAATTATTAAAAAATACTTGCGCATTTGTTTATAAAGGTATCACGGCACCTATTGGTTTTACATGGCTTTACATAGTATGTTCTAGAGTTCCTGAACAGAATGACCATGAGTCTGCTGAAACCACCACGCAGTTGTGTTTAAAACTTTTCCATGCTATCGGAGCCGAGGGAGTGACGAAAAACGACATTGATATCGCTCATAGAGTGAATAGCCGAAGGTCTGACAGCCATTATCCAAGTCCTATTGTGTGCAAGTTTATCGGACGACTGGCCAAAGAAGAAGTCATGGCTTATCGCAATGAAACTTCGAACTTAAACTCTGATGATCTGGATTTATCTGCTGATTTCCACACGGAAAATATCCGAATTCATGAACACCTGATCCCGAGATTACAGGTAACTTCTTAGCGAGGCAAATAAACTGAAATCTACACATCAATTCCAGTGCGTCTGGGTGAAGAACTCTGAGATTTTGGCTCGTAAATCTTGCTAGTAGCTCTCAGGTCTTCAAACTAAAACGCATGGCCCAGGGGCACCCAACGAGAATATAGTTCAAAACCACTTAAACATAGCATTGTTAAACGTATTTTAGTATTTAAACGGTAGATATAGGCACATTTTTATCCCCTAAATATTTTTCATCTGTTCGTATTTCCTAGCTGAAAGTCTCGTGATCCGAAAATTATAGGGATCAAAACTTACCTTTCCGAAAATTCCAGCCAGAAAAAAGGCTCCCGAAACTTCTAGTTGACCTTTTTAGCGTAAAAAACCATTTTTTAGGTATTCGAAAATCCTAGGAGAGGCAGGCAAGCAAGAACTTTTACAATAAATGTTCCGAAAATTCTAGATCTCAAATGGTCTTCCGAACAGATATTTTCCGAAAATTGACGTTGGGTGCCCCTGATGGCCGATCTTGACAATCTGAAGCAAAGCTTGGTCAGTAATCCAACTCAGGATTAAGGAGATAAGTGTCTTTGGGGGGTTATTCGTTCATAATCTTAATGATGTGATACAGCTATTGGAAATGGCTTCGCACAAAGAGAAGAAAAATCTCGCTAAAGAAAACAAATTGCTGTTGATGGAATTGCCATATTATAACTGTAAAGATCTGAAAAGTGCCTACCCGCAGTATAACGCTTTACTGGACACTAATCTCGCCTCCAGGAAATCGATCTATTCATTTGATGGCTTGTATGATCTTGATCTTTTCAGGAGATTCCGCAGATAAAAACGATTGATCCTGATGATATGCTAACTTAATGACAACAAGTAAAATTCGTTCGAGCTACTATTCGCCTCATAGCTTCTCCATGAAGTTTGAAAATACCTCAAATAGGGATGTCGTATCCGATTTCTCTATCTTTCACACTAATATAAGAAGCTTAAAAAAATATCGAACATTTTCAATGTCACGTACTCAGTAAGGTAAAACATAATTTCACGGTATTAAGTGTAACAGAAACGCGATTATGCGAAGGCGAATCAATTGATTTTATACCACAACTACCTGGTTATTGCTTTGAATTTGTTAAAAACATCGTTGTCTGCCAGTGGTGTTGGTCTTTTTATTAATGAAAACTATAAATATCGAGTCTTAGAACGCTCTACTAATTCCTCTTATCAAGCACTGTGGATTGAAATTTTATTACCAAATCGCAAGAAAAATATCTGTGGCATTGTTTGCCGACAACATAATAATGCAGATCACTTGAATTTCTTGACTATCTTTCGGATTCCCTCGAGTATTTCAGTAGTCATAATAATGACATATATCGCATGTGAGATTTCAATATAGACTTGCTAAAATATGAAAACCGTAAATACAGCCAGACACTGCTTCAATGTATGCAAAGTTTTTCTATGCTTCTTACAATTGATAAACTAACACGAGTGTATGGGTCCTCAGCGACTTTAATGGACAATATCTTCACAACAAACCTGACGAATAATATTTCTAGTGGCAATATCGTCACCGATACAACCGATCATTTTTCGCAAGTCTGTATTGTTAATGTAAACAAGCAAAAATTACCGCATACAAAAAAGACTAAACGTAGGGATTATTCCAGCTTTAATGCTAATAAATTCATAAATGACCTAAGTGCAATTAACAAACATGCACCGCTCAGGGATGCTTCAGTGAGAAAAGTAAAAATGTGAACTAAACCTCGGCTAACTGCTGGACTAAGAAAATCAATAAAAGTGAAGAATAAATTGTTCTTTGAATCAAACTGGCCGAAATATAAAATAGATAGAAATAAGTTAACAACCCTTATTCGATTGAGTAAACAACGTCACTATCAAAGGTTTTTCGACTCTAACATAAAAAATCCTCGATCGACATGGAAAGGTATTAAGGAAATATTGGGAGATGCGAAGAAAAGGAAAAAATCGAAAAGAATTAACTTCATTCGTTCTAACGGGCATAGCGATTGGTAACACACTCAACAAATACTTTCTCATCAATAGGGCATCAACTTGCAACCGATATTCCTGAAGTAAACACTACTTTTTCTGATTACGTATCTTGATCCACCTTTACACTCGCAACAGTTTCTAATTTGATCCAATTATACCACAGGAAATTGAAACAGAAATTAGCTCGTTGCCATACAATAAAGCCCTGGGGCTTTATTCGACCCCTATTAAACTGTTAAAACTTACTAAATCAGTCATATCCATACCATTAACCGAAATTTTTAACCAGTCTGTACTAACTGGGGTTTACCCTGCAAAACTTATATATGCAAAAGTAATTCCAGTGTATAAGGGTGAAGACGAGACGTTACCTGAAAACTATCGGCCAATTTCTTTGTTATCGATTTATAATCGCTTATTTGAGAAACTTTTATATCGTAGACTGATAAAGTTTATAGACAAGAATGATTTTCTTTACGATTTGCAATATGACTTTCCCAATAAACATAGTAACCCAACACGCGATTCTTGATATTGTGGACACAATACATTCTAATATGGACAATACAAAGTACTCATGTGGAATTTTTATAGACCTTAAGAAAGCATTTGATACTGTTAACCATGAGATTCTTTTGACAAAACTTGAACACTATGGAATAAGAGGAGTTATAAATTATTGGTTTAGATCATATCTTTCAGATCGCCGACAGTCCATTGAAATAGACAAATGCATATCGAAGACTGAAACGATCATATATGGCGTGCCTCAATGCTCTATACTTGGACCTTTGCTATTTTAGTTATATATTAATGACATCCATAAATCTTCCAAGGAATTTACCTTTTACTATTCACAGATGATACAAGTCTAACCTATGCAAATGACAACTTACGTACTCTTGAACTAACTGTCAACAATGAGCTTGAGAAAGTAAGTGAATGGCTTAATGCGAACCGTCAAAAAGTCTAATTATGTCATTTCTCGTCCGCGCCAAAAAGAATACCTTTTATTCGTCAAATTAAGATTCTTAATCAAACTTTAAATACTCGAGTAATTTTAGAGATGAAGGTTTTTGTTAGATATTTGGGTATAATGATTGATTCTGAACTCTCATGGAAGCATCATATTGACTTTACATCTGTCACAAAATTGGTAGATCGGTTGGAATAATTGCTAAAATGAGGCATTACATTCCACGGCATCTTCTTAAGAATTTATATCATGCACTTATTGCTCCTTATTTAAATTATGGTATCTGTGCATGGGGCAGCTGTCCACAGACCTGCCTCAATAAAATACTTGTTCTACAAAAACGTGCAATGCGTTTGATTTATTTTTCTAAACCCAGAGACCATGCAATCCCTTTTTTTATTGAATCAAACTGCCTTCCTTTGCAGTCTTTGTTCTTTCAACAGTTAAGCTATTTAATGTATGACGTTCATGCTAAGACAGCTCCTAAAAGTCTTCTCGATAAGTTTGCGAAAATCAATACAAAACATCATTATAATACAGCGATTATCTGCAAAAGAATGTTTCTCTGTTAAATTCTCTAGAACAGAAAAAATGAAAAAATCTTTTACTAGAATTGGTGTGTCTATTTGGAATTCCATTCCACTTGTTGTTAAGACTCTCAACATATCTAATTTTCGTAAAAAAAATAAAACATCACTCCTTAATGTTCTAGGTAATGAAGATAATTTTATTTCAATGTTAATTATTAATAGAATATTTTATGAAGTTAACCTGATATGTTGTATATACCTGCAGTTGTAATTTAAGTCTTTTTCAAATAACAAAATCCCCTGCGCTTGAATTTATATGTAATGTGTTTCTTTCTGTATGTTATTGTATTTCCTTTTTTTTCTTTTTCCTTATGTAATTTAATAATGTCTTCATTTAAAGTCTTGTCCTGCCTAGATTAGCATTATTAATAGCTATTTGCAGGATGTAAAGTATTGTAAACTTCATATTTCTTTAAATAAATACATTGTTGTTGTTTGTTGTTGTTGTTGTTGTTCCTGACGTCCTCAGAGGGTCTCTCGTTGAATGGTACATGAGAGGGTGCAAAACATCAAGGAGATTGTCAACAATTTTGTTAAAAAGTTGTTTACACAGCTCTGTCTTTCTTTGCCCTGACGTAACAAGGTCCAGGGGCGTAGCTAGGGGGGTCCTGGGGTGCCCGTGACCCCCCCTTGGTAGGCCTTCTTTTGAGCAAACAACCTACAATATTCAGGTGGCGAAAACGCCATAACAATATCTTGGCCGTAAAAGCCATTGTTGAAGAGCCCACTTTTTTAAAAAAAAATTTTTTGTAAAGTATTTTCGTCAACGGCTCTTGTCTTTAGTTGATATGAGCGTGGAGGTCGACATGACAATCTGGTGAGTAGCCTCTGTGACCCCCCTTTGAAAAATCCTGGCTACGCCCCTGAGGCCTGAACGTGACAGGGCATCTGAGTAGTGCTCTTCGTAACCAAAAATTATCCTCAGAGCCCGTTTCTGTATCCGTTTACAAGTCAAGCTTAGATATTGTGGAAGAATAAAGTGAAAAACCTGGCAGCCATAGAGTAAAACTTATTGGAAGCAAGCTTCACGGAACTGAACAAGTTTTTCAGGTGGTACTTTTGTAAGCTTTAGTTGCACTAAAAAGTACAACCGTTTGGCAGCTTTATTTTGCCATTTCTTTTACATGAGAATTCCACTTAAGGCCTTCTTGAATATAAAAACCTAATAACTTGACTACTGTATTACCTTTACAACTATCAATTTCTACAAGTTTATTGTTTTTCGGAGACCGTGCAAAGGTTATCCTTAGTACATTGCATTTATGGGGTGGTCAGTTGGAACTTGTTCTTAGTAGACCATGCAGACACCTCACCAAGGATGGATTGCGCATGACTAGTCCCATTATTTTTCACTATCTCGTAGACTAAAGTATCGTCCACGTCCTTGAAGAGATCGTTCAAAGCCATCAGCACTAAGATAGTTAGACATAACGAGAAACAGCTAGGGGTCCAATTTGGTCTCTTATGGAACCCCTACACGAGCCGAACTTCATTCGGAAAAGCAGTCGTTTCCTAGCTTCACTCTTTGCTGCCTGTTGGAGAGGAAGGCTGCAATCCAATTTATGTTGTACGATTTGCGCGCCAAGAATCATTGAACCGGAAATAGGGCAATGGCAACAGCAGGAAATAGAACTTGCTTAATCAGGTTACGACTCAGTGATTTTATATAAGTCACAGGCAAGTCTTAGTTTATTCCTTAGACACAATAAATTAACCGGTTAGAAAGTTTCATATTTTGTAATCAACCAATCGAAACTCAACACATTTATCGACCTTAAAGTTACTAGAAAACCTGTCAGACCGGTTAAACCAACTAATAATAACGCATGACCTTATCTTAATGAGATTCCTGCGTATTTTATTCATGAGGAAAGACAAAAGGTTATGACATCATCGGCGTTAATGCTTTCCCCCGCAAGTTAACGAGATTCCCCCCTCAAAAAAGGTTAATTCGGTCCTTACAATACTACTATTCATCCCCTAATAAGCAACCAGAAGTACTCATTATTTTTACCCTAGAGATTAGAGGGAATACAGATAATGCTTAGTCTCTTCAGGCGCTCTCTCTCTCTCCTCAGGGGACTAAGCAGAGGAAATACGGTAGATAAAAGGTCATCCTCTTTCTCTCTTGTCCCTTAATCTGTTCGACATTTGGATCCATTGTACCCTCATTATCTCATGATGATTGGAGTGTGTTAAAGGCGTAAAATATATACGACTTTTAAGAAAATGATGTCGTTGTTACCATCAGCGACCATTTTATGAGGCTACTAAAGTAATTTTAACATCACGTATTGTCGTGTGATCTTTCCTTTGCAAGCAAATTTCGAATTTTTTACGTTGCCATTTGGCGACAAGGCATTTTTTTATTGAGAAATATTCACTTTTACAAGGCAGATCACTGAGTCGGAATATTGGCTACTTTCCAATCCCCCATAAGAAACTTTGTTTACCCCCCAAATTTTGATTAACAAGGTTAGTTCATGCAAAGTTTGAGGAGCAGGAAGAGTGTTTTATGGGGGATAAGAAAATAGAGAATTAAAGGAGCGCATGATGGTATCGATGGAATCCTGGCAGTTCTGAGAGTCAGCTTGCAAAATCAGTGTAATGTGAAAGTCTATTTCAATCGCTTAATCAAAGCAAAATGCTCATTATTGAAATAAAACAAGATACCTTGTTGTCCATGGCGCCTGCTAGTTTCCTGAGTTCCAGCAACGTGTTGTTTGCGGAGTCAATCTTTTTAAATTGTTGAGGTGTAATAATGTTTAAATTGTGTACGTGGTAAGTATATTTCATGAAAGTGAGAATAATTGGAGAGAGAGGTAGTCTTATAGGGGCGTTGGCCGGGATATCTTACGTTTACAGGTCTTTACACTAGAGGGGATAAATCAGAAAATTTTCGTTTTCTAGTTTACAATCCGATACTCGAATCGGAAATAAAAACGTCATGGTTTGGTAAAGTCATTAAAGATTTTGAATCCGAAATCTAATTAAAAGTGATACTTTTGAGCGAGTTCCTCCTTCTTGGGGAGCTTAAGTAACGACGGCGGCGACGGCAACGAGAACGGCAAAAAAGCAACAGGTTTAAGCTCTGTTTACACTTATATACCGGATAGCTTTTGCGTAGTTGCGAAAAGACTATCGGATAACGCTTCTATTTACACATATAAAAGAACAGAGATTTCGGCGCGATTTCTGTAACGGAGCAGCGACTGCTGCACCACGCTGATCTTAAAATCGAGTCGTCACATAGCGGGAGGTCGCGGGTCCGGTTCCCGGGGTCGGGCCAATATTCAGGTTCTTAAAATAACTGAGAAATGAAGGTACTTCCTTTGCACTGCAAGCGACAAGACCTTTGCGTGGTTCGGATGACCGCGTAAAATTGCGGTCCCGTTGAAGAAGTAAAAATAGTGTCTCCTATAATTACTACTTTCGTCGTGCTAAATACATTGACACTCAAATTAAGAACATTTCTTTTTGTTAGGGGGTATTTACACGGACAAACTCAGACCGGCATGAGGTCGTATCAGTCTCCATATATTTCTTTTCATTCGTTTAGTAATACATGGGACCGGTCTGACAATGAACTCAGACCGGTCTGACTTCGTCTCTGTCGGTGACCCGACACTAGTTACTTTCGTGCCGGTGTGACACCGTACCGTTCACATGTAAAACGGAAACGAATATCACGCCCGGTCAGTAAATAGAATGTTTCTTCATGTAGCTCAATCATTTTTGCTGTTTCCTTTGCAAAAAATGACACCAGTAAAAAAGACTTGGAAGTACATTCAATTGAGTATATGCTTGGATTAATGTGAGGGATCGCACCATTTTGAGATACTGTGCGGTAAATATTAACAGGCCACCATATGAGCGTTGTATAAATCTTATATTTTTCTGAGGGCAGTTTAAAACTCCACGGTTGTCTGTAGAAGTAAACTGTGTACCGGTTAGTGAAACTGATGTTTAATGATCGACTTGTGAAAGTTATAATTATAATATGGCTCCAAGAATCTCCTCTTTTTGAGTTCGTACCGGTCTCATGTAATCGACGAAACATTTTGTCCCGGTCTTATGTAAAAAGCTGCAAAAATTACAAATTCGTAACTGTCTGAGTTCGTCCCGGTCTCATGTAAATACCCTCTTAATTCTGTGCCGTTGTCTGATCCGGGATAGTGTCAACATACCGCGAATCCTCTATTAAGCCCCTCTCAAATAAGACCCTCCCCCCGTTTTTTTTCAGGAGAGGAAAGTTGATAAGAACCCCCTTCTCTTTTAGACCCCCTCCCCTCTCCCTTATTACTGCTCACTAATAAATGATAGACTGTATTAGTCAATCACGACTTTAAAACTTTATTTCGACTGATCCAGGATGGTTTCCTCAACAGTTGGAAGCTCAGATTTGTCTTTGATCCTCGGCTGCGTGACCTCCAACTTCCTGTACTTGAGCTTTTCCACTCTGCGTTCTAGTTTCTTTTGGAGAACTGATACCTTCGTTTATGCTAAATTAAAATAACTCCTCCCCCCCCCGTCTCAAATAAGCTCCCCCTAAATGTGCTTGCAATCAAAAAAAGTGCCCAGGAGGGTTTAGTAGAGGATTTACTCTAGATTTAACCGAATGGAGACTGGGCTTTTTTTTGTCTCCTACGACCGGGGGGAGCTTCGGACACCCCCCTCTATAACCTCAAAAAACCGCTTATGATACTGCCATCAAAATTACGCAGAAAAATGTAATCATCATTTCCAACATATAGGCTAACTTGATTGACACAATGAGGTAATTTGATGTCATTGTCACGTTATATTGTTGAATTTATTTGTAGAATCCAAATTCCGTCAATTTTTCCCCTCAAAGCGAAAAATACTTAAATAGTAAGGTGTCTAACAAAAGAAAGAGGTTAGGTAACAAACTAATGACTTTTAGCAAACAGCAGTAATGACATGATGACATCATTTATCATTAAAGAAGGATCTGGAACCGTCCGCCATCTTGGATCCGCCATTTTGAATTCATATAAATGTCATCAATTTTACTTACAACTCCGTAGATATCGAGGTAATCGTGATAAAAAAAACTTGATGTATGTATAAAAGGATGCTTATGATGCGAAAAAATCCCCAAGTTGTGAAATCCCAAGATAAATTAACACTGTTAAAATTGAACCCTGCGACTGCTTTGTTTTTCTTTCCGTGTCAAGGCAATCAGCTAAATAGATTGGATTACGCTAGCAGTTACAATAAATTTGATAAAATATGGCTAAATTAACTTAAAAGCAATAATTAAATAAGTATAATATTAAAACTAGAAATTACCCCTCTTTTGTACAAAAAATCAAATTTTGAGAAAAACATGGCTTTCAAAAATCGGTTGCCATGGTAACTTCAGTGATAAAGTACACGTCACGACGACTTTAAAATGTTCCCAAATAATTTTTAGGGAAAGTTACCAAGTTTGGTGCTCAAATTTAAAACGGTCTTAAAGTTATTAAAGCTTTAGCGAGAGGGGCCTGAAACCCTCTTCTCCCCGGTCTAAAAAAGGGTTAATAAGCAAGACAAAAACTTTGCACGAGCATCACGCTTTTAAGGTGATTCCCTGGGTTTGCACTGTGCATCTCTTACTGCGCATAACAAGATGGCCGCCGTAAAAAAAGCATCTGAAGTAACATGATTAAAATGAAGTTGACTGAAGAAAAACGCTATTGGAATTTTGCTTGCGGTTGTTTCTTGCCGAGGTGAGACTCAATGTGTTGGGAATGTGCATAACGCAAGCAGTACGCGTGTTGCTGAGTTCGACTTCCTCACGGAGAACCTCGATAGTGGATGTTTAACTTGTGCTTACTCACTTTCATTTTCATTTAAACGCATTCTTTATCACATTGTGTCCTAAATGTGATATCTCGATGTAAATTCTGTAAAAACGGATTTTTTAATACTTTCTTCCCACTTTCACATACATTCTATTTTGAAACTCGCCCAGTCCTCTCTCAGCAATCGGAGAAAATGCATTTGGTGAGCACTTTCTGCAGCTCTACCGCAAAAACGAGTACGGTGACCCCCATTTTTTATTTCATGATTTTAATAAGGACAGTGCTTCCTTACGATGGGAAAAAAATTGGCACAAATCTATGTTTAGTTTTTTGGCAATTTTACTAAATTGTACGGATTGAGCTATCATGGGTCGAATAGCGCGTGTCCAATTTAATTCTACTTTGGAGCGTAAAAACAAGGGAAAGAAAATTTGAACGCATTACCGTTTAAAAATCAAAAGCCAAAATCGAGTTCTTCTAGCCTACGACTAGGCCTTTCCCGATTGTGCTCGTAAAATGCTGGAAAGTTGCTCACTAGAATGCCAAAAAGTTGCTAAAAATTGCCAAAAATCCAAAATGTTGCTAACTTAATTTCAAAAGTTGCCACTTAAATTTCTTGGTATTTTTATATGAACGTTAATTAAAAGCATTATTTTTCGTTCTTCACAATAATTACTATCATCGGTCAAGAAAAATAGCTGAAAACGTAGCTATTTTTAATTTAAAAAAATATATTTAAAAAAATTTGAAAAACATTCAAGAAATTCGCATGAATTGAAGTTTCCTACGAAATCGTTGACTTTTTCGTTCTTGTTATGTGCTCTAAACCTATATTTTTCTCAGAAGTTGCTCAGAAAAGCAAAATTTGCTCGAGGTTGCCAGAACTGCAAAAAATTGCTTCAAACGCCAAAAATTGCTCAAAAGTTGCCGAGCACGATCGGGAAAGGCCTACCTACGACGTGAAACTTCCTCATTCCACGAGTTATGGAGAACGTGGATACGTGACACAAGGATTCTGTTTTTCTTTTTCCAACTTAGACGCAGTTCTAGAAAATTCGTTAACAGTTGAAAAACTGAGGAGATGAAATGAAAGCTTGAAGTTTGAAACAGCGCGAATTCACTTTCTTCAGTGGCGTTTTCGTTGCCAAAAGGCCTGGTCTCGAATCTGGGTAGCGATCTTCTCACTTCTTAGAACCCTGTTCCCGGCTCCAACACAGTGGGGCCGAACAGGATCGAGAAAAGGTGCGTGCAAACTGCGTGAGGGCTGGGGAGAGACCGAGTAGTGAAGTAGTTTTCAGTAGTTTTTCCCTTCTCTCTTCCCGCCGTTTTTCGATCGTTATCTTTATCACTGCTCGCTCGCCTTTTTTTGCTCGTCTGCACCGACCAAGAGCCTGTCACATGCTAACTTATTAGCAGAAACACTAGCAATAACACATCAAAAATTTCCTAACTGTCCTAAAAATATATGACCATCGTAATTGCTTAAGGTCCATGATACCCGGAAAATACGGCCTTGTCCTTTCTCCGACCGCTTTAATTACTTGAAATTGTCGCATTATTATGACTTAATTCATGTCACTAGTTTAGAGTTCTGTTTGCCGTCATTTTCCCGTCAAAAGTCAACTTTTCCGACTTAACATGTCTTGTTACCGTCTTATAACAGGTCGTCCTAGAGACGAGACTGTCATCGGGGAATCAGTTTCCGCAAAAGTTCTCATCGTTTCTAAAAATAACTTGTCTTCAAGTTGAGGGAGCCTAAAGACATGACTGGGAGAGTCCTTCTTTGTCCAATTATTCCCTCTTGGAATATTTGCAATAGTGGAAGTGTTACAAATCACCACGCGCTTGGATAGGCGTGGCGATACTTGTATTCCATTATGCATTGGGTTGTACCTATTCATAAAACTAGGTGAAACAAGAGAAGAAATCTCTTCATTTGGTTTTTCTAAGTTTTACTGGTGTTGTTGCTGTTGTTGTTGTTGTTGTTTTGGCTCTTCACACAAGAAATGTTCCAAAGTGTGCGTTATCGCATTAAAATATGCAAGTTAAAATCTTAACGGTTAAGCGAATAGCGAATAGCAAGTGAAGATAAAATCATCTTTTAACCATACATGCTTAAACAGAGAAAAAGGATACTGCCAATCCCGTATTACACCAGAAGATCGCTAGCTCACGCAGACTCAACTTGACAGAGGCTTTTGCTCCTGAAATCATGGAAATAGTATAACGCAACTTCAGTGTAACTGGCATACATGGCGTATGCAGCGGAAAAGGTATTGAAAACATCTCTTCTGTCCTGACCCTTTCCGTATCATTTTTCAGTACGAACAACGAGCCGACAAACAGACATTTATGACATCATACTTGTGACTACAGAGAAGGAGCTTGGTGACCTCAACTTTTTTAAACAGACGATGAGGGCTAATCGCCACCCGGCGTCTACGAACAAGATCTATTTCTGTTGTCAAAAGAAACTGTTTACATTACTTGTGAAGATGACTTTATTAAGCTATTGACCCTGATTCAACTTCAATTTTTACCTTACTAATCAAAAGTTTTAAAAAGGAAAATTCTTCAAGAACGTATAGAGTGTTTTCACATGACGTCACGGCGGCCATGCTGGTGTGCCAAACCAGTCCTGTGGGAGTTGAGTTCCTTCCTTATGCGAACGTTTTCTTTTGTGCCAATAAATTTGCATAGATGCTGGCCACGTGAGTGAAAACACTTTATAAGAAGTTTAAGGTAACGCTGCTTCACTTTATTCGTAATGCGACTGTTAAAGGTTACCTGCTATCATAGGTTTGATTGACAATGGTCGTAAGTCCGTGGCATTTTTGGCGTCTACCAGTGAGTAAATGTATTTTCCTATGAACGTTGGAGAAAAACTCAAAAGTCACCAACAGCTTTCAAACAATGCAGCAAGCCAGGTAGATTACAAAGCGAATACAACATTTCAATTCAAGAACGGTAAAAGGTGCCAAACATTGGACTGCGAGGAAATTTCAATTTCAAGTCCCAATAAAACAGCAAACATCAGATAATAAAAAAATGTTTCCTTCTGTCCAGAAATAGGCCCTTTGCATTAGTTGATCACGTGATCAACTTTCGGTAAACAGTGGTTTCTATACAACTCATTGTAAATTCTGAAATTTTTAAACTGTCGTTAATCTTTTCCTTACGCATTTAAGGGCTCAAAGTGCCTGTTATGAATTAAAGGGAGATTTGAGCCCCGTAATGCTTAAGGAAATACGAATTAAGAATTTGTATGGAAAACCATTCAAGCGTGACTGGTTGGCAAAAATCGTTTTTCCTCATACAAGTCCTTCTAATTTTAGGCGGCCGCCGCAGTCACTACTTTTGAGACATACGGCTGAAAATTTACAAGTTACCTAATTTTATTATGCTTTTTTAGCTTGTACCAACAAAGGTTTTCAAAAGCGACCTGTTTTCGTGTTACCGAAAGTTGATCACATGATCAACTGATGCAAAAGGCCAATTAACACAATACATACTAACCAAAATAAAATAGCCGTGTAGTTCAGTGAGCTGTTCCTTCGTTCTACTTTACAAGGATTCTACCCACGAACACACACACATTAAAAGCCTAACTATAACAGAAGTTCAACCAGTTGGCTACTTAAAAGCGTGATTGACGTGGTGAACGCACGACCTGATCAAGAAACAAATTCAGCGTCCCGAAGCTACTCGACATACACGGTGAGCTTATATCAGGCGTTCAACTCTAATCCTTCGCACGTCACGCTACTCTGTGTCTCCCAGTTTGTGCTCGACTAATCGCGCCCGATTCAAACCCAGTAACTCCCGCGAATTGCGAGTCAAATGCGCTGAGCACTCGCTGGCCACGCTAATTCGCCAGTATTTGCAAGATACAACTGACCTCATGAACTGAAACACAAATGGGAAGCCTCACCTAAACGAAGGTTTGCATATGCTCTGTTGCTGTACAGTTTAGACTTAAGGTCCTCGTTCTTGCAGTTCACTTTAATTCCTTCAGCGTCAAAGTAAACGGCGCTGCTGTAATCTCCCTTTAAGTACGCTTCATCACCTTCAGTTTTGTAAACTTCTGCTATCGCTGAAAATAAAGAGGATTGAAATGCCTTTAAACCTAAGGTTCTACAAAAGGTTTGGAAGGGTTCGGTATCTAGTTTATTTGAAAGTGAGTGGTGATAATTGGAATGAAAGATAAAAACAGAGGAGGGAAGTAGAAAATAATAACAACTAGAAAATAAATTAATAAATAAATAAAAAAGGAGGGGGATTTTTTATTGCACATTCAGTGAGATGGCCGCTGACAAACAAATGTCTTTTCCGTTCCTGACATGACAAAAACTTGTAACCCCAGAGAACACTAGACGACACCAGCTTAGTAAATTGCAATTTGCATTGAGTGTTTGTTGAATTTGTTTGTTTGTTCTTTTCGTGCAGGCCAGGTGCTGATACTATGCTTGCTTTTCAACAATCTACAAAAAAAGCGTTCCGTTAATTATAAATATGTTTGACTGCATGACTGTAGCTCTTAAGTAACTACACTGTACTTGTTTGTACTGTCAATACTGTTTATCAACAGTTCTAGCCAATCCCTTATTTAATTTTTGAATTTAATGCTCACTGAATACTGTTGTAGCACAGTTGAAAGTAGAAAATGCCGCAACTTGACTTTTAACAAAGGTTCTCTTAAACTGTGTTTGAAACTGCTTTTATACACTATTGTCTGTTGCCTAAGTATCTTTACCTTCCAAAGTAGCATCATCAAAGTCCAAAACTTTCTCATCACTCTCACTTGTTTTTCTGATTCCACTCTTCGCCATGAATGCTTTGATCTGAGAAAAATATCGGTGTAAAACGTTTTAACTTAATATTATCGTCGTGCATTAGCACAGTTAAACGGTCATTAATTAAAGTTGCCAATGTGCTTTCAAATAAATGTTAGATTCCGATATATGATACTACTTTCCGAACATTGTCAATCATGAGTACTTCAATAGTAGGCAGTGATCTTCAAACTTACTGTAATACTATTATTGTGTAGCACTACAGGTAATCTGTGACTCATTTTACCACGATGTTTTCAATTAACACACAAACTTTTTTACAGAATTATTTCATGTGCAGGCTGTCACGCTGCAGTCCTAAAACAAATCCTCGCGTTAACCAGCAATCGCGAAATGAAATTTCGACAACCTCAGTAGCTGGCCCATCCTCAGATTCAGGGCAATTTTTAATTTTAATTTATTATTATTATTATTATTATTATTATTATTATTATTATTATTATTGCGTGTCTGTTATTTAAAGAAAATTACGACAAGGAGTTTTATCACCCAGTATGCCATCATTAGACTACACCTGATGATGTATCATTTTCGTGCAAGAAAAACTCGGATAAGTTTATTCATGATTACCTTTTTCGGACTTTTAGAATTTAAAAAAATAAAATTTCGTAATTTAAAAAAGCTGCAGTTAATGCAAAAATTTGTTGTAAACCGTGAACAAAGAATATCGTATGCGTAACAGAGATAAAACTTGTTTGCAAAGATATCTAGCAACATGAACATAAGGCAAGAAGCTTGTTTAGCACGTTCATCACGAGCACATTTGCATCACTGACGCTTTTTCACTTTTAAAAAATACCAGAGCTAAATTGGGAAAACTAATATTATCCTTTTAAAAATTATTGGTAAAAACTACCATGTGGTTTCATTTGAATCATCACAACACCATATGGAATTTCATCCACAAAATGAAAAGTTTTAACTACTTCCGTTCAATGAAGCGCATAATTGGTGCCTTCTTTCGATTGTAAATACGGTCAAGTAGATAAAGACTGGGGGTGAGTATTAATCGAGCATGCACCACAACTGACGCCTGAAAAAAAAACACGGAAAATCGGCACTGAATCACTTTGGCCACAAGTTCATGTCACAAATAGACCAAAACACAATAAAAAACACACTTCACATCTTTAAAAATACCACAATATCGCAACCTATGACTATAATTTTACCAAAATCACCCACCGCAAAAATAAAGTGCTCAACGCTTGACCGCAAGACCGCAAACGTGTTTTGAGCCATCGTGAGCAAAAGCGTCAGGTAAATATGACAAGAGGGGATTTTCACCCTTGAAATTGACAGGCTAATATTAGCTAATTGCAGGCGTGTTCACCGCAGGTGAGAGTGGGTGCTTCGTTTTCGGCGAGTTGAGGGTATTTCGGTTTCAAGCTCAGGGAGCTTAGTTTTTTTTTCCCTCAAATTTGAGGTTGTTTCGTGTTATTGACTTGTAGATTGCTCCGATAATCTGTATTGTTATAATGAAGTTCGCCGTAGGCAATTTTGACCTTTGTCTAAGAAATCTTTGAGGACGGAAATCGCATTCTATGGTGCTTCGTTCGGGACTTGGTTAACACTCCTGATTTCTTTTATAACCGAAATTAGAAGAATACCGTGGGCAGCCAGAACATAACAAGGAAATAAAAACTAACAAAAATGGCTAGAAAGTTATATTATACGGAACGAACGAAGATAACATTTTTCTTTCGGTGAAGGAAAAACCGCCTGAACGAGAAGCTTGTAGTGAGACTGGGAAAACTCTTATTTGATCCCGTTAAAGACGAATTTAAATTCCATTTTGGATTTATCCGGCCATTTTCATGTTTAAAAGACTCAAACGTCACTCAAAAATTTTGTTTTAAATAGTGAACCATTTTTAAAACCTTGAATTGGATTAGACATTCAGTATGGCTTTCTGGGGCCTGGTATATGGAGCGTGGAGAAACAGACTAGAACTAGATCATCAATGATGCCTCTTGGGAGAAAAATCTGTACCTAGCAAGGCTGGGACTGCGAAATTGGCAAAAAAAAGTTTAACAAGGCTTTTCAAAAAAGGCGGTTCACGTCGGAAAAAAGTATCAACAAAAAAACCTTTTGCCACTTTTTTCTAAGCTTATTGTTGCACTCACAGAAAATTTATTTTAAAAATGAAGTGATGAAGCAGCAGAAAACTTGAAGAGTTCGAGAACCCTAATGGTGACTCTGAAAGATGCCGCACAATTAATGTGACATATGTTATAGGTCACAAAAAGTATTCATTACTGAAATCCAGCAATCTAAATGGACAACAACGGGTCATTTAAAAGAAGTCGATAAATTAAGCCTACCTGTAATCTCACGGAGGAATGACTTCTCAGATACGTTTCACTCAGAAACTTGTTTCTTTCAGCCGCACCTTGATACTGATGATGGCAAAAATAAGAGGGGGCGTAGCCTGAATAAATAGTCCATGGATAATCACGTGATCAAAAGGACCCGACGTAATAGGCTGATTTTATTTTAAGCAAATGTGTGTGATGACATGTTACCTAAATATGGTTCATTCATAAAAACCTTAGATAATAATATAAACGAAAGAATATGAAGAGAAATGATTCTATTCCAGGAAAATGGTGTGATGACATCGCATCGAAAATAAAATGTTTCTTGGCAAATTATACCGTTGGATTACACATGAATACAGTATATTAAGGTGGTCAGAGATCATACAACTTATGAAAAGACTGAGGCCACTGTTTTCAACATTGTTCTGCTGTTCTATAGCTAGTCAGAAGACTCTAAAAGGACATTTATCACACTAAACACGCAGTATTTACTTGGAAACTGAAAAGTTACTAGTTTCCTCGACCTATTACCTACTAGCACTCGTTTTTTTTTTACAAGTATTATGGTTAACCAAAGAGTAAATTATTAATGTAAATTTAACTGGCTTAAAGTTTCCTTCGAAAAGATGTTACATTACTTTTCTCTTGATAGTGATCTACTTTCATTAGATTCTGTCAAAGTAAATGTTTCCTGAGTGCAACATGTAATTTTAGTTTGATTACTTCAGACCGTGTTTCATTTTTTAATGAAAGTGCATTTGTGGTTATGGCGAAAAAAAAACTTTTACTTTAAAATAATAATGTAATGTGAATGAAAAAAAAAAAACCTTTAGCCTGTATCGAATTTGATTGGTGCGCTAATTTTGTCGTAATTTGTATCTGTCATAGGTATGTAAGTGCATTTTCTATTCAACTAGCAGATACTGGCATCATGTCAATGACGAAACGTTATCGGAAGTACTAGTGTCACTCAGACTTCTGTAATAGGTCTTTTGGAGGGTTTGCCTCTTCTCATTCGGTTTAATGCCCGCCGCATTCCAGTACTGCACACCTGTGTTTCATCACGCGCTTCCTGCGAACACGAATGATGATCTTGAGCGAATTTAGAAACGCGCGCTCTCCATTATATCTTCTGACGTCTCGTGTACTTGCAATTTCCGCAGATTGAGGGGCAATTCATTTGCAACAAACGCGCATAGCCCGTCACAACTGCCCGTTGGATCTTATTTTTATTATGCAGTTAAGCTTCAAAACAATACATTATTCCAACGCGCAATGCGAGGGTCACGTGATGTGGCTAAGATGGACGGACGTGTGTTTGAGTGCTCCGCGTAACATTTCGTAAATTTCTGATGCTTAAGTCTTCCTTCTGCTTTCTTCCATTTGTTTCGTTATCTGGTTTCGTGTGTCATATTATGCCTGAGTAATCGTTATGTACTTGCCTTGTTTCATGTTAGTTTGAATTCTATTTACTGTATAGTAGTGTCTTCACTGTTACTTAGTTCATCTATAAATAAATCTTGTTTTGCAATGTCTTCAGCCCCCCGCCTCGATTAGTTTATAAGCTATTTGCGGGTGGGAAAGTAATGTAATTAGTTATTTTCCAATTTTCAATAAAATTTGTTGTTGTTGTTGTTGTTGTTGTTGTTGTTGTTGACGGCGTGCTGACCTGAGTCGTCGACGCGTTAGATCTCAGCCAGAGGACTGGGTTTGAGCCTTGGAACTTTGCCTGAAAAGAAACTGAACTGTAGATTGTTAGTTAAACCCTTAAGCCCCAGGCCCCACCCCGTCTGTACGAATCCGGATACTTTCGAAACTGCACTTTCTTTACACGAATCTTTCCTCTGTCCACCCGAAACCAGTGCATGAATTCACTCATTCATCCGAGACCTATTCGTGTAAAAATAAAAAGTTCGGGGTTCATGTGGACAAAGCTTTTTTAAAAATACAGTTGCAGGTTAAATTCCCTAGAGATTTCCCTGGGAGGAATGGGAGGGGATAACTGCGCAAGCGCTCGATACAACAATGGAGTGACTTTAAGGAGAAAACGGAACAAACAGTGAGAAGGTAAAACAAATATTTATTTCACAGTATTTAAATTGCTATAATAAACAACAAATTTAGATAAACCATTCCTGTAAAAAAAGAAACGTGTCTTTGATAAGCAGCTTTCTTGGATGAAAGCTGTCTTAGCGATAACCCTTTTAATTGAAGAATTGGCAACAATATAATTCCTATATATCCCCTACATTGGCCGTTTTCACGCTAGAGACGGATAATCCACCGTCAAAATCCGTCAAAATTGAAGGAAATACAGATGGATAAAGTCGGGCGGATTGTCCACTGCATCTAAAATTAAGACCGTGCTATTTTCAAATTAAAACGTATTATCTGTCTGACGCGAATTATCCAACGGATAACCTATCTCTAGTGTGAATACAGCCATTGTTAGACCTTGTTATTGGCGCATAAAATAAAATAGGCCACTATTTTCTGGAAACAGTTATGACAATGATTTGAATTATTTGAAACGTTCAAATTAATAAATAAATTAAATTAAATAGCCTAATAAACATTAAACTTACATATATTCACCTAACTAAAAAAAAACGTTCAACCAAAAAATATTAAAGACAATGGGAGCGAGATTATTATTCCAGTTTATGGTATGAATCAGTTCTCATCTGAGATTGGTATTTCGTGTCAGCAATTTGACATTACAGATCTTAGAAAACAAATGAAGACCGTTTGGTGCACGTGTTGTGATGAAATTGTATCCTTGATCCAGTTAAATTTCACTTTTCTTTGTTTTAAATCATTATCATACATTATCGTACCCAAAGACAAAGAAAAATTTATTTAAACCCAGGAAAGAATTGAACCACTACATATGCACTATTTTATTCTTGGTGATCATATACAGAACAAAAAAAAAACAAAATTATACTGCGGTCAAAATTTGTGCGCTAAAAATAAATGAATTTTCCTAGCTGTGATATGAAAGGATGGTTTGTAATTACTCTTCGAGTACATGGAAATTGTAACGAACTTAACTTTATGAGAAGTTTTCGCACACTCGATGCATGTGTGGTGTTTTAAGAAATTCTAATCAAGTCAACTCGACAAATAATTTATTCCTTCAATTTACAATTTTTTTTCTCCAAAACGTTCGTTGTAACAGGCGGGTTGAAGAAGCAAATCTTGCGTTTTGCGGATTGATTGAACTAATCTCTCCGCTTTCATCCTGTAAGAAAAGTTGTTCTCCACGTCATATAATCAATTCGTTATCGAAGATATCTCGACAATGACCTCGCACTTTCCCCCTCTTTTTTGGCGTTTTCATACGCCTCAACTTGGTCTCGGCCTATAAAATACGCAACAACAAGAAAGAAAAAAAATTGCATAATCCATCTTGGTCACACGCTTAGTTAATAGAGAAAATTACTTTCATAATTTATTTTAACTTTCCTGAACGAACAAATTCCAAAAAACTTTGTTAAATTCTACCTACTCTACAAACAGCACCTTGTCGATAGCGTCAGTTCACTACAGCTTCTTGTCTCTTTAAGTATTGGTAGTCAAATGAAGTCATGGCACAATTTTCATTAAATTTAGCATCTACGACACTGGTTTACATCGTAATACTGATTAAACTGCTCTGTACTCCCTCGCGCGGGAGACTGGACACAAGGAACCACGATCCTAGTATCCAGGCTTCGTCCGGTTATAGCCAGGCAGCTGTGCCAACAAAAATGTTAACTACCTAAGAAATATTTAAAGCTAACACTCTACCGTACCTATTGCATTCTACTATTTATCTTTGTCCCATGATGAAATGGTTATTACAACCGCTCAAACGAACACGAGTTTGTTTAAGATTACGAAGGTAATCAACCAGACACCCCTTCCTCCCATCCCATCAAATACACATGCTAACGTCCATTTTAGATGGAAATATTTGAAATAATTGATCTGAACGATCCCATTTGTTATTATTAGAGGGGAGTAAGGTAAAGTATTTCATATATTAGCAATACTACTTCAAGAATGAACGTATTAGGCTTCAATAAGAATTCGAATTTGTCACGCAACACTGTTGCCTCAAAAAAAAGAATTTGAATCTGATAACATCCCTTCGTGACACAGCGTTGCGTAACAACTCAAAAACGACTCAACTAGTTCTGTGTTTGATACATTTTTGCCTGATATTGACGTTGAGAACCTCCATTCCTTAACCACTCGATTTCAAAGTCTCTCATGGTAATCTCGGCTCCCTGTCGCATGGTAAGTCTTGTTTCATCCAGACTCAATTCACACATGTCTAAATCATCTTCTCCTGCCACCAACAGCAAACCAGGCTGACCAGGGTGCAACTCCATTTGACGAGCAATGAACTGACCATCAAAATGTGCATACCTGACAGATGAAATGCATGGTAGTTAATATTGATACCACAAACTACAGTACAATCACGGCAAGGGGTGATACGAATTTTGCGCTTTTTTAGCCATCTCATGGATTTGGCCTTTCCCCTCCCACCCTAGTCAATGTTGTTCACTTGGGGACAAAAATGATCTAGCCGGACTTTAACATTTCCTTTTTTGGAGGAGGAAGGGGACGAATTTGCAAATACTAGTGCTTAAGAGAGCTTTATCTTGAAATTAGACATGAAATGACATTCTTGCTCTCAAAACGAGCTGTTGTATTGGGTAACGAAACAGTGGATAATGAACCAAACAATGTCGCCATTACAAGGTTTCTAAGAACCCCCTGACCCCAAGCTGGTTATCAGAAGGTGAGAAAACTCTGTAATACAGCTTCAATAATAATATAACTTTTTTTTTTCTCTTAACATGAGGATGATCCGCTGTGCATTACGACCGCATTACAACGACAGGTAAAGGACAGAATGACAATTTAAAAAATCCTGTTAACTATACACACGAAGATTTTTGGGAAGGGAGCTCAAGAGCGTGAGCGACGCGATCGTAAAAGCTCTGTCACCTAAGTAAGACTTGGTTCGAACAAGTGGCGTAAAAAGTACCGTGAGAGTAACTGATTATCTTAGGGTACACGAAGACGACTTAAAGCTTACAAAACCACTTAGTTATTCAAGGGCAAAGCCTTTTACCTCTCTTAACCCTTTCACTGCCAGAGTGTTTGAAAGAGTTTTGTGAGGTAACTCTAAATTTTGAGTCTGTGGACGAAATCCTATGATGTGACCATTCAAATGAAAGCTCTCTGCCTGTACTTTCACATGATGCTATTTGTTTGTCAAAATTTTAGAAAATGAAATTTGGAAATTTGGTCGAAATTTGCCTTTGGCCACATTTGGCAGTGAAAGGGTTAAGCACCAATCCCCCTCAAAACCATGACTACATTTTCCTGATCTTTCCCGTCTCTTACCTTACCTTGTAAGCTTAAATACTGTCCTATTGTAACTAAATGGTGTACCGAACTGTTATAGTATTTGTTGTACTATTATAGCTATGTGAGACAAAAGTAGATGTTTCATTTTGCTACCATTATTATAGGGAGCTTACCCAACACCGACGACGACGTTGGCGATAAGGTCTTTTTAAAAAGTGAATTTACCTAACGCTGTTTCAAAATTCATCGCTCTTGTTCCATGTGAGTCGGTATGTCCAATGTTGGTGAATTTTTCTTGATTTGAATTTACAGGACTGTAAAAATCTTGTTCAAAGTTCTCCACAAAACGTGAAATTAGGCAGTTTCACGTCCTGGTTGTGCAAGGAAAGCGAAAAATGTCCAAAAAACCTATCGCTTTTTTGCCTTTTTCGTTGCCGTCGTCTTCGTTGTCGTGGATTACGCTCCGTATTTAAAATTATAGACACGACATTAAGACTTACCACCAGCCCTGTTTCTTAAACTCGCTATCCCGATACTGATTCGAGCGCCGCATGAACGCTATACGGAAAAATCGCTGCGGCCTCCGTGGGGGGAGGGATGGGGCAACAGCTTGCTCCGGACGACAGGGTCGAGGAGGGAGGGGTGGGGCTTGTTCAGCTGTGACAGAAGACAAACGCCAGTGAGAAAAAAAAACACATTTAACTCTTTTCACTCTACATTAAGTACCGCCTTTAACGACGTGCGTGCGGTATTCATCCCTTGGAATTCCACCTTTATTAATGTAAATAAGTTTAAATCTAAATTTAAGACCTTTCTTTTTAAACGAGTTTATGAACTATCTTAGGTTTTTTATTTTGTATTTTTGTGACTATGTATATATATATGTAATGATTTTAAGATTTTTATTTTTTATTCAGACCTTTTTGAAGTGTTGTAAAGCGCTTAGCACTGAAAAGTATAAGCGCTATATAAATATTTTATTATTATTATTATTATTATTATTATTATTATTATTATTATTATTATTATTATTATTATTATTAGTGTTTGCTGTAAACTTTTGCTTCAACTGCCGAATTTGTGGATTTGTGGATGTACGGGTTTTTTTTTTTTGCCATGTGTACAAGTATCTTAATCTGGATGAAACCTCAAAATATTAGTTTATAAAACAGAAAACCTATAAAAGAGGTGAATGGTAAACTATAGAGGATTAAAAAAAGTTTAGGAAAGGAGAGAGAAACATGAAATACAAAAGACACTCTTAGAAAACGAACTCCTTCAGTCCGACCACTTATTACTTTCTTATGGAACTGTTTATCATGATGTAAAAGATGCTTCTAACTTCGCAGTCTTCCCGCAATTTTCAAGGTATGACTTGTGAAACTGTGATGTTGATTTTTAGTTACTCCTAGGCAGTCAACCTGAACAGTTTAACCCTTTAAGCACTAAGAGTGATCAGTGTCAAATTTCTCCTTGTAATATCACTGCTTTATAAAACAGGGTGGTCATGAGAATTAAGGACATGATCACACGAGATGAATCTAATTAATACTTCAACAAATTCTCCCCACTACTTCTATTGAAAACGTATAGGGATAACAAATGAGAATTTGAATTTTGATGTTAGGGTTTAAGAGCTGGTTGATGAACTGACCTGCCTGCATGATGTCCTGTGGTGCTCTCTGTGGAGCTCCTTGTGGGTCGGGTCTTTGAGCCTTGTTTTGTTTCTTCCACTGATGATAAACCTTCAGTCGCCGATGGAACTCTTCTCGGCAGGCCTCTAGAAGCTCGATATCTACATTAAGCACAAAAAGATAATGAATCATACACGCAGGTCTTGTTTTGTTTTGTTTTTTTCCTATTCCACTCCTGTACGAAGGAGACCGTCAACGGTAAGGTTTGTCCCAAACAGATACCATCAAACATCTAGCGTTGATGGAATGTTAGATCACTTGGGATGGGCAATTGATAAGTTTGGACATGATATTTAAAATTCATTACGTTCTCAGATGATTGAAGTGGGCAGAATGGAAAAAAGACAGTTTGAAACAATTTCATGTATACAAATTGATACAACCTCAAATGAAGTGCGAGTGCCTGACCTGGACTACTTCAAATCGAGGCTTACCAGCCGCAAAGGCCAAACTAAACTTTGCTATTCATACACTTACTTTATTCATATTTGTTTCTTTTATCACTCTCATAATTCTTGCAAAACTATAATCAAATTGCTAAAGTACTGTATTTACCGCTCACGATTATCTTCATAAGGGAGGGAGGTGAGTTTGCCGGAAACAATCTAAACAACGTTGTTATTGAAAATAGCCGGACGTCTAACGCCTCGTACACGTTCCTTGGGGTTAGGTAGTGATCAGTTACTCTTCGGGGTAGCATCACAAGCACTTAACTTACCACATGACGTATTGATGGTGTCGCGTAACTCAGCGTACTTCCAAGATGTCAGGTCATGCTTCTTCTTCTCTTTTGATGGCGGCAGAGCCCTGTAAGAAAAAGACTTTATTAAATAAGAGTTTGCAAGAGAGGTGTCAGGTGTGCACTTTTAACGGAGATAACAACTGAGTAAAACAATTGTTCACTTATCTGAGCGACGCAATCTAATGTAATTGGCCAAAGTTTTAAGACTGGAAGACGGTGCCCATTGCAAAGAGAGGAATAGAGAGTTCACTAACAGGGTCTGGCCAACCAAGCTGATAGCCCCATAGGTGAACCACAAAGCGAAACAAATGTGAAACCAGATGCGGGTACTGCTTCACATCAGTTCCTGCATTTAAAGCATGTTCAAATACAAGCCTTTAGAGCTGCGACCTTAACACGGCTATAATCTATGAAAAGGGTTCACGGATGGCTACGTAGTCCAAAGGGCAGACACAGGAGTCCAGGTCTGTAAAGATTTAGGTGCCCCCGCCAAACGCCACGTGGCAAAATTATTTCCTAATAACCGCTTCCCCTCGCCGTCCCACCCCCTGTGACTACTGCACTCCTATCAGGATCTTGGTATCACCCGGTGTGAAGACTAGACTAGTCTTAAACTAATTGCTATCCACAAAAAGGCACTACTATGCAGCCTAACAAAATTCTCGGATCAACGCGTTATGAACTGTCACTGCACTGACCTTTGCAGTGGAAGTTGGGGTGCCTGCTGCGCTTCACTGTCCAAAGCGTCAGGACCCTGTGCAAGTCGCAAAGCCAGTTCACGGTCTCTACGCTCTTGTTCAATCATAGCCAGCCTGCAAAGAAACACACCACGTTACAATGCAGCCTGAAGCAATCTGTGCTATAGCGTAAGTGCCTTTAAAAATAGCTCTCGATAGTTACTACTGCTTGTTTTTGCAATGATCTGTGTTCACATTGACAAGATTGTGCACCACTTTCAAATCTCATCCGACCTCAAACCAATACCATTCAGACTAAGTTTCCCGCGCTTGGCACCAAACTGACCCGCGTGCCTTGAGTTCGGAAAAGTTGACTCAATCGTCTGCATCAACTGCAACTGGCGAAAACTGATTAGGGTTTGAATTTAAAGAACATAAGTGAAAACCACTTTGCGCAAAAATGGACTGGTTAATTGCTTTACGAAAAGGGTGTCACCGCCTTCTCGGTTTCTCTACTCATCGTAGTACCACTTGAGTTTAAAAGTATCAATGTCAATCGGAAAAGCATTTTAAGCGGCACAGACTTACCTTCGCTGTTCCTCCTCCCTTGCTCTTTGTTCCTCTTCTGCTCTTAAAGCCTGTAGGATATCAGCAATAGACAAACCTCACTAACAATTAACTTAACTAACTAGAAAAGTAACTGACGAGTGTTCATGAACAAGGGTAATAAAAAAACAAATTTCTAAAGGACAAAGACGAGAGGACAGCCCTAAATTTTATGTTCTGTCGTTCTTTCCCTGCTTGGCTAATGCAAGCTACCAGTCTCTATTTCTGTCTCTGTCTGCCTGTTAATCTATTCCTCTGGGTATGGTCTGATAGCTTCTTGGCCACTGGACACAGAAGAGGAAAAAAACTGCTTATGATAAAAGTGATCGTCCCACCTTATTGACAGAACCAGGCTTTTGCCTCGCCCTACTGGACACTGCTAGTCCTATACTTTCCTTGTCTGACGCATACTTTCCCACAATGAAAATTAGTTCTCAATAAAAGTTTCCGATGGGCAATGCTGCCATTCACCCACCTGTAACTGTCTGTCAGCCTCTTCTTTTTCTCTTCTGATTCTTTCTTCTTCTTCCCGCTTGCGTTGTTCTTCCTCTTCCTGTTTCCGCCTCGCTTCCATTTCCATTCGCCTTTGCAAAGAGAAACCCAGTTTCAATAAAGTCAATAGTTTTAGCTTAAACTTTGATGTTAAAATTATCGGATAAGGACAAAAGAACACTCTTACTCGATGAAATTGTAACTGACATAGGACTAACCATCCGAGCTTGTGGAGAAAACTATCCACCTGTTATTTGCTCTTTAGGAGCCCAAGGTTAAAAATCCCTTAAACATTGCTCCATCCATCCCCTTATATTAAACGACGCCATTTGTAGTTAGTTACCCCATGTAAAACCTGACACATTCTATACGGTGGCTGTCAAGGTTGAAAGAAGTCCAGCGTTCTGAACGATCGTAGGAACAACATGAAAAACAGAATTTTCAGCGATCCCATAGCGACCGCAACGATAATAGCGATGATACGACTAAAGCCAGGCTTAAAGTGTAGTGAAGTAAATGTCTTATTTTCACAGTGACCGCCCTTGCTAAAAAGAGCTAAATTGGTCAACACTGCATGTAGTTCATGATATACAGAAAACGCAAATGAATGCCATGTGTAACGTTTACCAAGCGACTGAGCAGTTTACTTAGCTTTCCTCTGATGTACATAGTTACTACTTAGGGGCAATTGCATGAAAGTCACTTACGAATCGTGTTAGAAATTTGAAGACTATAGATAGTTTCAAAACATTTCGAGGAGAGATCAACCTTTTAGTACAGTCAAAGCTCTTGTAAGCAACCACCTCGGAAATTTGAAAAAGTGATCGTAACTAGAGCTGGTCGTTTACAAAAATGAGCTCTCATAAGCGACCGCGTAATAAAACAATAGAGGATGGTCGCTTACAAGAGCTTCAGAAGCGCATCAAAGAAAAAACAAAAGAAATTAATGTTTAATGAGTGTCTTTATATCTGATACAAACACGGCTAAACTTTAGACCAAAATAGCCCCAGGATCTTTATCAACGAACCATTAGCGCTGTGTGCATTTTCATTTAAGAGTTGATTTACATAAATACGACTGTGAGTGGTCGCTTACGAGAGCTTAACAGCAAAGGAAAAGTCCCCTTGGGTAATCCCAAAAGTGGTCGCGGTCGCTTACAAGAGTTTTCATTACAAGGTTCAAGTCACAATTCAATCGAGGTTTCACAAAGGTGCTCGTAAATAGAGCTGGTCGCTTACGAGAGTGGTCGCAAGGAGAGCTTCGTCTGTAATTCAAATAGATTCGGTCGTTTCATCGTTAACATATTAATTTACCCAAATATTGTAACTAGTCATACAGATTTTTAATCGTTGAAATTTAGTTGTTACTTTTAACTAGCATTTTAATTCCTTGTATCAAATTAGATGGGTACGCGGCTAATTGGAAACTTGTTTGTTGAAATTCATTCATTCATTTATTGGCACTCACATTCTTCTGTCTTCTTCTTCTTGTTTCCGCTTTCTCTCTTCTTCCTCCCTTCTTTTTCTCTCCAGTTCCATTTGTTCCTGGATTTTCCTCAGCCGTTCTTGTTCTTCTTCAATCTTCTGCTGCTCCACTCGTTTCTCCACATCCTTCAGCTGTTTGTTTAATTTTCCCACGAGATCAAAGTACAACGCATCGACAGCATCTCGCTTCATCAGTGTGTTCTACAGTGCAAACAGAAATAAGATTAGGAGTGTTTTTATACCTCTTGTATCTTCTCCTTTGCTTACTTTCAAAACAGGGCATGGGCGCATAAAGAGCTGCCATTGAATACACTCAGGAGTAACCCAGTGTGGGCTAGCATCTTGTCAAGTGAAGATAAGCAGTACCTGAAGCTGCTTCATGCAGATAGAAACCCAGTTTAACACCAATCGGTCTCGGGTAGGCCACTGTGGTCCATGCCGAGTTTCCACTTGTGATTATCCATAATAATAGATAGGTATGCATCTTCGGTAAAAAAAGCCTGGAATGCTTATTTCTGCAAACATGGGTTGTCACGTAATTGTAACTCCGTTTCTTTGCACCTCAGGAAAACCAATATGACGTGGCGCACTTAAGTATTAGACACTGCCATTCTTTTATATGATATACGGAAGCCGCATCAAATTGCCGACTATACATGGAGGAAAATTGTTTTTCTGAAGTTGTCCACCGACCGGTTGGTGATTTTTCATTAAATAGCAGATTCGTGTCCTTAAATACTATTAAGAGGTAATGAGTTTGCTTCACAATTTTTTCAATATTGTCCATTCCTCAAGCGTTTAGTGGCCTAAGTAATATTAACGTTCCATTCAAGTTCTAGCGAAAGGTATATTAAGGCACGGAAGCGAGAACCTCATTATGGCACTTAAACGTTGTAAAGCTTAATGAGTATTACAGTTAAATGGCTTTTATTTTCCACGTTACCTTGACGTTTACAATAGCGTCTTCAATTGCTTTTCGAAGTCCTTCGACATTTTTCGCCAGCACATTGTGGTCTTTTTTCAAACCTGCCACTAAAACGAGAACATATCCACAGTTAGAATCAATGATCAGCCTTAATTAACTGACGTCTCGTTGATAAAGTGAGCTGTATTATCTAGCACACTGAGTCGCCATCGGCCTTTAAAGAAGACAATGACGAGTTAGCCACTACATTTTTAACAAGCTGGCTTAAGTTTTGAAGATTTACAAGATCGCAGTAATTCTACACACGATAAATCTACAGCCATCACACAGATCACAGGAAATGAAAATACATACGACTGCGTTTTAGGTCTAATACCATTTCTTACGGCTGTACCCGGCAAGCTCTTTTTCTATTTGGGTTAAGCCTCGCGCCTTTCGCCGATTTGGAAGGCTGGAGAGGGGGAAGAGGTAAAAAAGTTAGGAACGATTAAAATGCTTAAACAATGTTTGCAACAAGCATCGCCTCTTCTTTGTTTTATAAGGGGAGCTTTTGCAGGAGAGAGAAGCATACAGAAGATAAAACAAAAGGAAAGGTCGTTTCAACCTGGTAGTTTTATACTGAAACTTCCCCATGCATTGAAATATTTCTACCAAGTTTTACTGCACTGTTTTATACAGAAACGCACTTTCACCTGTTTTTGAACCTGTTTTCTTTCCATACACCCTTCCACGGTATTGTTTGCGGAGCTCAAAATAATGGCCCGTCAACGGACAATGTTAAGCCAAGATATTCATTTGTCCTGGGACAAACGGTTTGCCAGTCATTTTGATTGGACATGTAAGTAAGTGACCAGAATTTTTTTCACCATCACCTTTCAAGACGACAAGGAACTTTTTTTAACTTCACGATTTTACTTGGTAGGCTATTACGTTCAAGTTATTATAGTGTAATTTTTAACATTTTCACTGGTCAGAAGAGACACATGACTGAGATGAATTTCTTTGGCCGGTCAACACTACTGGCAACAGTCCAAATTTATGTTGAGCCCTGGTCTGCGTGGAAATGTTACATGTTGAGGACGTTTTACCTAGTTCTTCTAAATGAGTAAGTTGAACTTGCAGTCTTCTGATTTTAATGATCCCTTGGTATCTGCAAAAAAGGGGTTATTTCCATCATTACTATAGCTATGCAATCACTTCAATAAGATGGGCGGACAGTAAAGTGTAATCGAATTTTCAAGACAGAAATTTGTCGTGACATTTCGTACTGAATTTGCTCGTTTTGTGGTAAGAACGTCAAAAACTGAAACGCTTTGTGAGACAAACATATTGGCCCATACAAATGTTCCGTTGGTTATGCAACAGTGCCAACGCTGATATTTCCAGCCTGGGCTAGCTGTGCGGGGCTACTTGGGCTACCTAGTTCAATGAATGATTACTTTGAGCCAGGACAGCTGGCGTTCAATATGAGGAATGGAAATATGCCTTTCTCCTGACGTATTTGGAGAAGGGTTCGACGGCATTTTTGCATCAGCAATTGCACCTTGAACTATTTTGACGTAGAAACAAAACTTTAGAGCCACCTTGTTGAACTTCGTGTTTTAAATTGCATATAACAATTAGAAAAGCGCACCAAGGTATATAAAATTCACACTATAATAACGTCCCTACCGCGGTTTGTGGCGACACACGGCCTGGAACATTTTGACCGTTTTCTGAATTCGAATGATGGCTTCTGCTCGGAAAGCAATCTTCTTCATCACTAAAATAACACAACACAACTCTTTTTAAGTCCATAACAAGGATTATTTCTATTACCCAGTTTTACATTAGATACAGAAATACATTGGCAGACATCGTTCGCCAGAAAAAACGTTGTGCTATGGCGTTCCAGTGACAAAAGGTGAAAATCTAGTGGCTTGAAAGGGAAGCTTACATTTAATGACGGACAGTGTTCCCCATATGGCTCTTCTCCACCGAGTTCTGATTAGCCATGTAAGAACTTTAGACACTATATTCTTCAAACTCGCAGGATCGGAATGCATAATTTCATCAAACTCTGCAAACTTTACAGAAGAAAATGAGAACTTAGTGCCGTCTTCAACAATTATTGTCATCTTCTTTTAGGTCCTTTTACAGAACATCAAAGAAACGTACCTTTCCAGGGCGAAAAAAGATTTTGGAAAGACCAAACTTGTAATCCTTGTCGTCCATGCCGAGAGCGTGAAACAGAGCCTGCAATATTGATACTTAGAGTTAACTTAACGAACTTCAGAGAAACGGTAGCCTGTAGAGCAAAGGTTTTTTTTAACGAAAGCTCGTTTGAAATTCGATCGCCCTAGGCCACCATTTTGGAAACAAATAAAAAAGAGGAGGGTTAGGAAAAGGGGCAGAGGGGGGGAAGCGAAAATAAAACCCGTCGTCCTCCACCCAGGAATCATTTTTTGACTCGCACCAACCCTCTGTCTGTCTCATCACTCAAGATCGCTGCAGACCATTCGAAGGATTATTTAACGCTCGCCTTATACGCGCGCTCTGCAGGATTAAACAAATATAGCTATTCAGTACAACAGAGCAGTGCTTACTTTACAGAACATCCTAGGATCAAGCCGTGCAAGCCGAGGAGGCAAGTAATCTTTGTACCTGGAACAAAATCGAGAAAAACAGGGTAACTACTCTAGCAAAACTGGACTTCTGGCTTTTAAAAAGTTATTTGAGTGTGAACACCAGACCTACAGTTGTTGGGAAGTTACAAAAACATCAGCTCATAGGAAAACACTTATCGGGAACCTCACTCACCACACATGACATTGTTACATAATAAGATGATAAGTATGACCTAATTTATACTCTACTAATTTCTTACTGATGAAAACAAAAGGAATTTTACTTACATTTGATAGAGTTCTTTGAAGGGAGCTCGGGATGGCCAGCCATCCTGCATCAGCATTAGCACTGATACCATTCCAGCACACTCCAACTGACTCAAAATCGAGCCTCCTTCAAAATCCCGCGGAGCCATCTTGCCATTTGGCTTGATACAACGAATGAAGCTCGCACCCTGATATTAAACAGAACAATGTGCGATCAAAAAATGAATTCACCGCAGTGAAGGGAAAGTGACATTAAAGAGGTAAAGCATCGCGTTTACGTCAAACGGCAAACGCGAATTTGTACCACGTGACCAAGTTTCCCAAATACTTGTCGGTTACTGTTCATTATTTCTACAAATAAATTAGTAGTTTCATGCAAATTTTTGTCCATAAGAATTGTTTTGAGCTGCTTTCATTTGCGTATTTTCTATTTTGAGAAATTCTCAACTTGAATCTGACGTTTTCCGTTTGCCGTATACGTGAAACTTAAACTGACTATTAATACTTCTGTAATTACGTAAAAAGTAATTGGGCTTTTTAAATGTTAACTTTACTCACAGTATTGCCGAGTTTTTCCATCAACTGATTTAACTGCGTCTGTGAAAAGAAATTGATTTAAAAAAACAAAAAACATCATCTTGAGAAATATTTCGATATTAACTTTCAGCGACAAAAGGTCTCAGAAAAGATTTCTTTGCGTTGGATCTCTACGTTACTTTCTAGTTACAATGCCCTCACATTCTCAAGGGATTTCCTTTTATTGCTTCTTCCCAGAAAGTGGGGAACTAGTGACTAAACCCTGGCTCTTAGTTGGTCGCAACGAATAAAAAGAAAAGCGAGCGCCAAAAAAAAAACCGACAGTGTGTAACGAGCTGCGTGGTGCTGGGCGAGAACAAGCCATCGACGTGGCTTAGCTTCGCCAATTCTTGGCAGGGTCACCGCAACAGCTCGTGCCGCCAACTACTGCGGAACTGTAACAGTTCCTCTCCAACCCCCCCCCCCCCCCCCCCCCCCCCCCC